TAAGTTCTTCCGGTCTGAAGGGAACAGCTGATGAAGATTCCAGTCAGTAGTTGAAGTGTCCTGGAAATATTTTTACACTGCATCAAAGACAGGAATAAAGTCTCAACCTAATTCATCATGAGCGATCTATGCCACATGAAATTCTTTGTAGACAAACTCTGTGTGAAGATATTAAACATTAAACATTAAAGGATTATACTGTCAGAATAACATTATTATCAACATTGAAGGTCAAAGTGTTTAACATCTGCATCTAAGATTGATTAAACACTCGAAACACATGCTGGTTTGTGTAGCATGAATATATATATTCATGTAGGAAGGTCTTATTTGGCACAAGGAGTAGTCATGGCAAATGAATGTGGCTTCACTGTGTTTCATAGCATGTTCCAGTTTAATACCTTTCACAAGAATCAGTGCTTGGGCCTCAATTATTTACTATCTACATTAATGATCTAGATGAGGACATCAAACTTAATATATCCAAATTCGCGGATGACACTAAACCAGGAGGGAGAGTAAACACCAAGGATGACATTAAAAAATGCAACGAGATATAGATAGGCTAGGTGAGTGGGCAAATAGGTGGCAGATGAAGTATAATGTAGTGAAATGTGGTTATCCACCTAGGTGGCAAAAACAGTAGAGCAGATTATTTTTTTAGAAGGGGAGAAATTAGATTGTGTTAGCGTTCAGAGGGACTTGGGTGTCCTTGTACACCAGTCACAAAAAGTTAGTTTGCAGATACAGCAAGTAGTTAGGAAAGCTAACGGTATGTTAGCGTTTGTTACAAAAGGGTTAGAATATAAGAGTACGGAAGTCTCTTCCGTATGGAAGAAAGTGGAGTCCTGTAGCTCAGTGGTTAGAGCACTCGCTTTGCAAGCGAGAGACCCGAGTTCAATTCCAGGCAGGGCGAAACCTTGGGCAAGTTTCCTTACTCCACACGCCTATTAATAATCCCTCCAAAACCAAAAACAATAATAAATTGGTCATTTTCAATCCACGACTGTTTGTGGGACATTGCTGTGCGCAATTGGCTGCCGCGTTCGCCCACAAATATACAGTCAATTCACTTTACAGTATATTCTGTGAAGCGCTTTGGGACGTTCTCCCGACGTGAAAAGCGCTATATCAAATGCAAGGATTATTATTATTANGGGGTACAATGTAGATTCACTAAATTGGTACCAGGGATAAGGGGAATGAGTTATGAGGATAGGTTGAGCAATTTAGGCCTATATTCTTTAGAATATAGAAGAATGAGAGGTGATCTTATAGAAACGACAGAATAGATAGTGGAAGACCTTTTCCCCTGTTTGGAGAAACTATAACCAGGGGTCACAGTCTTAAAATTAGGGGTAAGCCCTTTCGCACTGAGTTGAGAAAAACATCTTCCCTCAGAGGCGAGTGAATTTATGGATTTCTCTACCCCAAAGGGCTGTAGATGGTCAGTCCTTGAACATATTCAAGACTGAGATTGATAGATTTCTTGTAGATAAAGGGATTAAGGGATATGGGGATAAGGCGGGTAGGTGGAGTTAGAATAGATCAGCCATGATCTTATTGAATGGCGGGGCAGGCTAGAGGGGCCGAATGGCCTACTCCTGCTCTTAATTCGTATGTTCGTATGCTCTATGTATCTTACATATATGCATGTTTCTCGCATTACATATATGGATCAGCTTCTTGTGCAATACAAGTGCGCCAGTGCGTACAAATGAATAGTTGAATAACAACAATAACAATTAATAAATTAATAAAATTAATAAGGCACTATATCAAATGCAAGGAATATTATTATTATATATCTTTCACATTGGAAGGATGTCTTAAAGTTCTTCAATGTGGCAAACTAGTTTATTTCTATTTCCTGCTTAGTATGACATTTTAAGGAATAATTTGTATATATCACCATATCATATTGAAATGCTTCAAAGTGTTTTACAAATACTGCTAAGTTTCTTACACCAGAAAGATATCACAACATCCTTGAGATGAATTGACTTGAAGGATTGTTGGCCATGACATACAGAAAATTCCTTCTCTTCCTATGTGTCAAAAAATCTTTAATATTCTCCTGAAAACAGACAAGACCTCCATTTAACATCTCATTCAAAATATGTACCACTACAGCGCATCAAGGGACATTCTCATTTGTACATACCAGGAGAAAACCTACAAACAGCATAATCTTTTATTCAATATCAAAATTATCCACTTTTATGGTTCCTTGCATGACTCCCTTAATAATAATAATAATAATCCTTGCACTTGATACAGCGCCTTATCACGTTTTCTAGATGTCTCAAAGCACTTCACAGATTATATTGTCAAGTGAATTGATTGTATATTTTGTGGGCAAAACGTGGCAGCCAATTGTGCACAGCAGTGTCTCATGAACAGTGATAGATTAAGCTACCACATTTTGTTTTGAAGGAATTATAACCCCAGAAAAGCGATCTGCCAAATGACTAACAATCAGGTTCCAACTTGTTGCTAGGTAAACAGAGAGGCGTGGAGTAAGGAAACTTGCCAAACTTTTCACCCTGCCAGGAACAGAAGCCAGGTCCTCTCGCTTGTGAGGCAAGTGCTCTAACCACTAAACTACAGGACTCCCTTTGGATACAGTAACAATTCTAAGAAAGCACTAATACAAACCTGCACATGTAGTTTAACAATAGAAATAATCGTTACATTTGGTAGAATATCTTTCGTGGAGACACCTCAAAGTGCATCACTGTAAAGGGATTTGGCTGTGTGTATTTTGTTCACAATAATGTCCCACAAACAACCATGGAGTGAGTGACCAATTTTTAAAAAATCTTTGGGGCATTTCTGCTCTAGCACTGTCAAGTGTTCTGGGATGCCACCCTTCATGAGGGCCACTATATCAATGTAAGTTGTTGTTGTTGACCAGGATGCCGGAAGGAAGTCCATTCTTTTTGAATAGTCCCCTCGGATCTTTAACATCCACCTATATAGGCACCTCCGACAATACAGCACAACCCCAACATTGTATTGGAGTGTCAGTATAGATTATATGGATTATGAGTCCTGATGTAGGACTTCAATACAAAAGGAAAGAATGTAAAGGTATTTAATACATACATGAATCTTAGAATTAATCTCTTCAGAGAGAAAGGTTACCCTCTGACCTAGTAGCCTTGAACTGCAACAATATCATGAAAGACAGCCAACTGGTGGATGTTGGAGGACAGTGTTGTGTAAAGTTTAAGAGGGTGTTGTATATCCGAGTCCCAATCTCAAATGTCAAACATTTGAGTGAATTGCAAGAAGCCTATACCGAAGACAGTGGAAACCTAGGGCTGCATTGATGTGCTGTGGCTTATTGCTAGGAAGCAGCCTGAGTACCAGCTGTTAAGCGAAACCAAGTGGAAAACTGTGACCTATAGGAAACTATTTGAGGCACGTCTCTCTCTGAAGAGCTCGAATGAGCTGACCATAACAGCAATGGAAACAGATGCTAAATTAGATTGAATATTTTTGGCTGGGAGCCTCAGCCGTGACTGCTGCCTTCAAAAAAGATGAGAGATCATTTACTCGCATCAAAAGGCCCATCAATTGCTCTGATGAGGGATATAAAACTCGTGCACTGTACTAAAACAGCACCAAAGAAAATTCATAAAAAATAATCAATACATTTGATGTCAGGGGGATGCCTCAAAGCGCTTCACAGGATTAATACAAAGTGTAAACTGTAGGCAAATGCTTAAAATGTGAATACAAAACTATTTTGTAATGTCAAAGACAACATAGATTAGCCCTGTAGGCTGTAGCATATTGGTTAGAGCGCTCACCTCGCAAGCAAGAGGACCTGGGCTCAATTCCTGGGTGGGGTGAAACTTTAGGCAAGTTTCCTTACTCTACATGACCCTATTTACCTAGCAGTAAGAAGGAATTTTGTTATTGGTCAATTAGTGGATCACCTTACCGGGGGTAATAGCCCCTTCAAAATCCCTTCAAAAAAAATTAAAAAATCATAACTTGGGTCACCCAAATGTTTGTAGGACACTGCTGTATTCAATTGGCTGCCATGTTTCTCCCACAAAATATACAGTCACTATACTTTACAGTATCTGCTGTGAAGCTCTTTGAGATGTCTCAAAGACGTGAAAAGGCAAATGCAAGGATTATTATTATTACAAAGAATGTACAGCATGGAAATAGGCCACTCAGTTCAAGCTTATACTCCCCACAAGTGTTCACCCATTCCTTTACTTCCTTCTGTACCATTCTATTACCCTCTGCCTTGTATAAAGGTTGAACTTCCTCTTGAATGCATCTACACTATCTGGTTCAACCACCATTTCAGGCAGTGTGCTCCATAGTCTCACTGCCCTGTGTGAAGAAGCAGTTCCTTCTAAACTCCTTTTTTGATCTCCTAGTGACTATCGTATACTTGTCATTCGGCCCATTGTGTCTGTGCCGGCTCTTTGAAAAGAGCTATCCAATTCAATCCTACTCCCCCGCTCTCTCCCCATAGCCTTGCAAACTTGTCCTCTCCAACAATTATCTATTTTTCTCTTAAAAGCTGTTATTGAATTGGCTTCCACCACCCTTTTAGGTAATGCATTCCAGATCCGAACAACACGCTGTGTGAAAAAATTTCTCCTCACATGTAAAAATGGCGGTGAAAATCGTAGTGAAAAAGGTAGATCTTCAGACAGCATTTGAAAGCAGAGAAGGAAGGGATGTGAATCAGGGAGTTCCAGAGGGGGCAAAATGTTTGAAGGCTTTTTCACAGATCTTGAAGAGAAGCAGGCAAGGGAGATATAGCAGGATATAGTTAGTGAGCAAAGGATGTGACGAGGTGAGTAGGGATGCAGGAGTTCGCAGAGGGGGTTGGGTGGTGTAAGACTATGGAGGTATTTAAAAGTGAGCAAAAGGATCTTAAAATTCAGAAGTGTAAAATGAAAAAGTGTGATTGGGTGTAAAACACAAGAGATTTTAATTGTACCAAAAAGTAACCCATCCGCAAATTAGAATAAAAGTGCAACTTTTTATTAAATAAGTACAAAATATATCCAGTATATACATACAGTGCATTTCTCAGTTAAATAAATTCAAATGGCTATAACTGCAAATGTTAAGCACACTGTTCATTTTCTGCATTACAGAAGGCTTCTAAAAACTACACTAAATCAGGTTAGCTCAGTCATGTCCCATGGCAAATGGACACAACAATACATTGGCCAAAAAGGTAATGTTGGCAAATTCGTAATGTTTCTTCTAAATTGTTCATGTCAGCATCCTCTACTACATTCCTTTCAAAGCCAGGCCTTTCCCTGAATGTTTTTTTGTCCAAAGTCTTAATAGCCAGTGTCCATCAAGTGGTCTATCTTACGGTCACTGCAATGACCTCCTCAGTCAATGGTCTACATATGCCTAGTGAAAGCTATGTCATATTCAGTCCATATTAAAGTAGTGGACAACTTTGGCATGTACATGACTCACTTAAAATAAAATGTCACTTCATAAGGTGCGATGCTTTTTAGGTTACGATCACGCCACTACAGAAATTCTTAGGCCTGTCTTAGATTGGAATGGTTTATAAGGATAAAATATGATCAATTAAATGTATGGACTAGTATGGAAAAAACAGACAAAATCGCAATTGTTAAAGCTCCAAAAAGGTCAAATCAAAGATTTCTTTCTAACCTGAAATTTGAAAAACAAATTCAGCAGAACTCGCCATTGGGTAGTTTTGTACGAAAAACAAAAGCAAATTATCTCAGTACATCAATACATGATGATGAGTTAGCATATGAATTGAAATGTAAGATTTTGCCTTTGTTCACAACACATTGTAGTCCCTTATTATATCATAAACTCATTCAATTCATAAACTGTATGATCGGACCAACTGCAGCTATTTGTAGGTAAGCCCTTTCTGAATGAATGACGTTTAAGAAAAGCCTAAAAATGAATAACTACTGCTCAATTTATTACACTATTCACCATAGCTTGTGAACAACTAAAGTACACCAAAGCAAACCACATTCTGTAACAAGATGTGAACGTTTTGTGGAGCTTAGTCAATTTTAGCAAATTTTAGATGTTAATAGAGTCGCAAGATAAAAGAACATTGACATTTTGTTTCAGGGCTGTTTTATGAATTTATGAGCATAGCGTTTAGTGCTGCTTCAGAACACGTTAAAATATTTGACAACAAGAATTTATAAAGGTAGTGTTTGGCTCCAGAGAAAAATCAAAGATCTTCAAAAAGATCGGCCTCATATTCACGTGAATGTTTTAAATTCTGCAGTAGTCAGTCACACAGAAATTTAGTTCTATTTCCCCATCATAATTCAGTAAACACTTTCCTATACCTTGGCAATTAAACAGAATGCCGTCTAAATGTAAAACAGGCAAGTATATAATCCAAAACTATTTTTGCTACAACTTTGGTCCAGAGATAGATTTCCTTTCTCCCACATCCAGCTTGCTCCAAAATCAAAATTTCTTCCTTAAAAAGTTGATGTTATGAAAAATTCCAGTTTATTTTTATACCACTTCATCGGATTCTAAATTGTATTCTTCATACAAAGCATCCAAGATATCCAGTTGCTTCTCTATAGCTGGAAGATAGTCGCTTAAATCAGTCTGCAATCCTCTACAGAAATATTCCTTCTGCTCATCACCTTCATTTACAGCAAGTGCTGCCATGAAACCTTCATAGTACGGGGCAGCCCTTAATGCCAACTGTAAGGCAAAAATAAGTCAATTTACTTCATTTAATTTCTGGGAATAGGAAACATGCAACTGTGGTATAAATAAATTAGATTTATGCTAAGTATACGAGAAAAACAAAACCCACTTACCGCAAACACACCTCTAACAACCCAACCGTGGTATTGCCGTAGTGTTCTTCCATAGGCAACATCTGGACAAATAACACAAACATTTATTTGCTTTGCACAAATATAAAAAGATATTCACAACATTTTAGTCTATTTACAACTTTGGGAAACCTATCACCCAAACTCAACCTACATCACATTCAAGCAGGCAAGGCAATACATGCACTGTATACATGTGCTAAACAGCTAAAAGTATACACTTAAGGATGTCACATTAACTTTGTGATTAACTTGATAATACATTAAGTGGGATTTCTGTGCGCTTTACTGATCAGGTTGAGTTTAGTTTTCCAATGAACAGTTTAGCATTCATTCGGGAGTTCTAAAATGATTACCTGAAAAACATAAGCTATGAATCAGAAGAACTAAATAGGATCAGTAAAATAAAGCCTGTTTTAAGGCTCTTCATTATATCACGGGGTCACTTAGAGAGATGGGACAACATTTACTTATTTAACAACAACAATTTGCATTTGTACAGCATCCTTCACATAGGGTAGCATCTCAGAGCGCTTATTGAAATCTAAAATGTGAGCAGAAAGCCTTCTTGGCTGTTTGTGGGACATTGTTGTGCCAAATTGACTGCCACGTTTGCCTACAAATACAGTAACTACACTTAACAGTAAAATCCTGGAAAGCAGTTTGAGGCATCTCAATGTGGTGATAAGGTAACATAAGGATAAGCAAACATAAGGAACTGTATATATTTGTGTATTTTATATTGTGCTGAAAATAGACATTAAAAAATAGCAGTTTTATGAAAAAGACTTAAAAATACTGGAATTGGACTTTTCATTTCTCTTCCACAACAGAGTGTAAACTGCATTTAAAACTGATTAATCACAAACAGCCCACAAATGAGTGCAGTTCATTACGTAGGTATCTGCCCATTTATCTGGCTGTGTTGCCATACAGAAAAATAAACATTGAGCATTCTGCGATTTTCCAAACCCATTAAAGACTAGACTTGTATTTCTCTGAGTATTTTTGGCAGAACAATTGGAATCAGAGGAATATGGTTTCACTTTACTATTTAATTTAGAGAAATCATAAGCCATCACCCTAAAACAGCCAGACTCCTGTACAAGAACTGTCATCATCAGGTTAAAATACATTGAAACAGAGATCATCTACCTTGGTTTTGAAAGAGGTTATTATTATTACTAGGTCCACAGAAACATTGAATTCAGTCAAGTCATCGACAGGAAAAACAAAAATCACAGGGACTGTCCCTGAGTCATTCTCAGATCAGAAATACAAAGAGTTCCCATAATCAAATGAAATGTCAGAGCAGGCTCAACGACTAAATGGCCTTTTCCTCTTCTCCTTCTAAGATTGTCTGTCAATTCGTTATGCATTGATGATCTCTTTGGTTTAATTCACAAATGTCAAATTATTCAACAGTAGGTCCGCTTTTTTACACAACTGAAAAGTAACAGGAATGGTTATCACATGACAACTTGCATTTATATAACAATCTTCAAACAGGATAGAGTCTCAGATTACCACTCAGTGCTGGGCTTGAATACCGACCAAGGGATAGGGGGAGATGACGATAGGGGCAGTCAAAGAGGTAGGTCTTAAGGTGGGAATTAAAGATGGATAATGAGGGCCAAGGTGCAGAGATTAAGGCAGGAAGTTTCAGAGGTTAAGGGCCGTAGTCGCTGAAGGCACAGCCACAATGGTGGCACAGAGGTGTTGTGGGACACAAAGCAGGTGTGCATTAGGTGAATCAAGAGGGATGGTATATTAGCAGGTCAAAGAAGCAGGGAGATGCTAGGGCTGGATGGGATTGGTATGTGAGAGTGGTTTGTACGTTACATCCTCCAGACGTGAAAAGCGATATATAAATGTAAATTTGTTGTATTGTACTGAGGATCTTGAAATCAATCTTTTCGGAGACAGGGAACTAGAGCAGTCTGGCGAGGATTGGGGTGATGTGCGTGAGGAGTTTGGTCCAGGTGAAGCATTAGTCATTGTGCTTGTTTGGTTAAACTTACTTAGTGCTGTTTGGATGTCCTTTTCTCCATTCATCACTTCCTCCAAAAATCCTTTCAGAAATTTCAGTCCTCTGTCACACAAGCACATGGAAAAGTCATTGAATTTTAAAATGTTTAAATTCAATGTCGAGGTTGATTTCAGAAAATAAAATGTTTTTAAAATACAGGACACTGAACTGATCACTCCAAGAGAAAACTGCTCAAGTGACAAGTATCCGGAGTGGCAAATTAGGTATAGGTGTTCTGGGGCCGCAAGAGGATACTGTGAGCAGGTATTGTATACACTAACACAGAGAGAGCCACTGTCAGTAGTCATACATGTCTATAATACATGTATTATATGGAATATTGACAATGTGGCGTCTTAAATGGTATTGGCTAGTGAAGCCCAGGAGTTTACTATATAACACAATCTTCAGTGCAGCAGAAAGAAGCAATAGAGAAAGGGTAAAACAGTGTCATAAACCACAACTGTGAACCTCACACTGGTTGCCCAAGAATAAAAATGACCTTGCCACCTCTGAACTTTCACTGAATGTACTAGGTTCAATAGCATTATTTTAGAATTAAGCCAGAGGCAGAAAGGATCGTATCAATAGCTAATTTTCTTACTTTATTCCAACAAAGTTCAATTTTTCTCAGGTAAAGTGCATTCTAACACTAGAGGGCAGCATTGGATAAATTGAAAACTCAATGAATCTTTGTATGCTTTATAATATAAATAATAATAATCCTCGCATCTGATATAGCTCTTTTCACGTCTTCTCGACGTCTTAAAGCGCTTCACAGAATAGACTGTAAAGTGAATTGACTGTATTTTTGTGAGCGAAAGGCGGCAGCCAACTGCGTGCAGCAGTGTCCCACAAACAGTCGTGGATTGAAATGACCAATTTTTTTTTTGAGGGATTATTATTAGGCGTGTGGAGTAAGGAAACTTACCCAAGGTTTATCTACCCTGTCATCTGACTATGTATATTCTCCCACAAAATACACAGTCACACCACCTTACAGTAAAATCTTGTGAAGCACTTTTAGATGTCTTCCCTACGTGAAAGCGCTATACCAAATGGTATGATTATTATCATGATTACTAAACTTCACATGGCTATTTAAACCAACCATACATTTTCTGAACTATTATTTTAAAACAATTCTGTAAAAATTTGTTGGCCAAACGGTCTTCTTCTGTGCCCTAAATTTCTATGCTTCTAAATAAATAAGAGGTAGGTATTTGCCTTAGGTTTGGGGGGAGGGGGAAGAAAAGATATAAGGAGAAAGAAAATAGTCAGCCAGGGTTTCCACTGCCGACTATAACCCACTGACAGGAATGGTGATAGCCTACACAATTTGAAGGATGAAGGAGGTTCTTTAAATTATCTGACTCATCCCTCGAGAATACCCTCCCTAACGCCCCTTGCCCCCACCCCATCTCCATATCACAGCATCAAGCTGCTTTTTAAATGAGACAGTCCAGTGTCATGACAAGCCAATTGAACCAATACTTTTCTACGGGCAGATAGCCTATTGATACTCAGTGTCATGGAGTTCTAGAGTCCCATCACCAGCAGAACCAGAAGTCTTTCATCGTGACAAGCTTAAGGGTATTAAAGCTCAAACCATACCTTTTCAGCCAAAGCAGGGCCTCAGTTGCAGAGTTTCTGACTGTGGCCACATCTGTTTCAATTTCATACAGTACTATCTTCTGAAGTGTGGTGAACCTTTCAGGATCAGTGATGTACTTCTGATTTACTTTCTGGAAGCAAAATACTTTTTTTTGCAATATTGATGGGATGATGTTTTGAACCATTTAAAAGAGCAGCACTGCGTAAAACTATAATTTGTAATGTTCAGAAAAAATGCATTTATCATTTAAAATTAGATGAACAATAAATTAGTGACACTTACCTTAATATTACCCACAAAATCTAACTTAACAGGTGCAAAGACTGTTGGACCAAGTTTATCTATGAGGGGAAACAAACAGCAACAGAAGTTCAATAAAAAACAATAGCATTCCATCATTTGTTTTGTAAGAAACAGACTTTTGCAAACAGCTCATCTACTTTTGCATTTAATGCAGACGCAACATGAAGCAACTGTAAACCTCTTGTTGGAGAAATTAGAAAGGTAGCTGGAATTATTTACACTGAAAGAATGACCTACATTTAATTCTTCTCTAAAACTAAACAATATTTTGAAAAAGAAAAGTCAATACATTTTTAAACTACTGAATGCTTTTGTCGCATGAAATGTCACTAGTTTCACAATCACACACTACATCGTAGGTTTCAGATCAAGGAGACGCCATGAACATTTTTCAAACAGTTTTTTTTCCAGAATGTTTTTGAACATTCTTAATCTAATGCGGGCGACTGAAAGGCAGCAACTTTTTCTTTCTGCTCGAGCTGTCTCACCAGTCACAATGGGGCCCTCCATCTTCAAAAACGAAAACATCTGTGTACAATAGAGCTTCCAAATCCAAAATGAATGAAATTGGACCTTAATTTTACGTATTATCTTCATATTGACTTTTGCCATTGCACTTCAAAAAAAAGTGCTGCACATTTTGGGCACTAAACTTGCCCAATTTGCCACACTTTCAACACTAAACATTAAACTTCATATTCAACTTGAAAGGAATTGAGTGTCTGAGTCTGTGTACTCTCTCAGACTAAATGCAGGTCAATACAGCCTCATATCATGGTTACCTGGGTCCAATATGTCAGAGGCACGACAAAAAACACAGAATAATGCACAAAACGCACAGCAAGTGATTGTCAGTGGTTTCCTGACAACCCAGAATGGCTTCCAGATTGTTTGGTCACCTCAGATATCACTTCCGGTGCAATGCACATGCCTGCTAGGCAGCAAAGCATCACCGACATCACTTCAAAAAGGAAGTTGTACTTGCTGCAAATAGAACACAAGTGCAATGTGCAGTAAGTGACATAGTGACATTAATAGAGCTTCCTGCGCTCAGTGCAAATGAATGCAACATGCATGAAGTTGATCATATCACTCACTCACAACATGGTCACTGCGACACTAGATGCAGATGGCCACACTTACAACAAGGTTTCCTTGTGTTTGTATACGTATCAGTTCAAAGTTCAATAGTTGGAAGGTTACATTTACTTATTTACAAAAAGGCTGTAACTTACAAACTATTTATGAAAGGATTCTTAAATGTTAAAATGTATCGATTGAAGAACTTTTGCAGAACAGAGAAATCAGATACTAACTGCATATTTGAGTGTATTCATGTACTTAACTCCCACAATCTTAGTGGGGGAGATTAAATTATGATCAACCAGTGTAAGGCAAAACAAATTTAAAAAATAATGTACACAACAGCCATCAAAAGAAAAAAAAGAAAAGCAAGCATCGAGTAGAAGAGGCATTAGCACAATCATGTTTAGGTTGGAAACTGGGGTTACAAGACAATCGCTGACAACAGAAAAATGCAAAATAAAAAGTTAAGATATTAAAATGAGTTGGTTTCCAATTAATCCACAGGAGAGTTTGTACTATTAGTTTAAAAATGTGAGCTAGAATATTGCAAAAATGAATATGACAAAATTCCTACCTAATACTGGAACTATTGCATAACATGCTTCCAGAAACGGCACAGTTGGGATACCCTTGTCTTCTTCAAATTCAATATCATTAAATCTAAAAACCAAAATAGACTCACATATACCGGCAGAAAGGATCAAAAACAAAAACAATACAGGCAACATTGGAATTTAACCCAAGCAAGAACAGACTGGACAGCCTACCTTAGATTATTAAAACTTAGACAGATTAATCTTTTAGCTCATCTTCAATTTGTCAAGACAGTGCATATTGCTGTGCGCAATTGACTGCTGCGTTTCGCCACAAAATATACAGTTAAATCACTTTATAGTATGTTCTGGGAAGCGCTTTGAGATGTCTCGACAATGTGATAAGGCGCTGTATCCAATGGGACGATTGTAATAATGTCTAATTATTATTCATTCAGTTATACTGACATATTCTAGATTAAAAAAACACAAGTGAATATCAAACCCTCGATTGTTAGCAATGTCTTAAATCATTTGAAAGATTCAACAGTGCAATATTATAGAAACAAGAAATCATGTGAATGAAGCTACTGTATATTCAAATGAGAAATTAAGCCAGCCACCAGTTGCAGGAGCTTTTTGAAGCTTAATTGTTTTTTTAATTAAACTGATCAAGCTGAAATCTGGGCTGAAGATGCTGCTTCATCTGAAGCTCTCTAACACAACACAAGGTTCCTAACACAAGAAACAAGGGAACTGCAGTGATCATATAGAATTAGATTTTTGGAAGCCTTATGACAAGGTTTGATTTTATGTAATTAATAGCTAAGGTAAGGAGGCAAAGAATATGGGGTAAATACTTGGGATAAATTATGGAAAATGTAAGGTGGCCGTAATATTGACCCCCTAAGTGACATTGTTGTACATTTCAGGTCCCCACTAAACCACTAAAACCTGAAATCATAATCTTTCCAGGTTAACACTGCATCTGAATTCTTAAATTGTATTACATTGTTGAAGGTGAACTGACATGGAACCAATCCCATTGGCTATGTTTAAATTGGGTATCACTTCATCTCCAAATGGATTCCTTTTTTAAAAAAATCAGTATGAAATGCAAAACCATCTGGTCATACGGTTGCCACAGATGTTTCTTGCTGTGAGCTGCACAGGCAGAACCTCCAATGTTATTTCTTTCATGACGTTCCAGCTCATTCACAATTTTTAATTTATATCAAAGTCTATTTTCATTTGTAAAACTCTTCTGCTGGTAACTGATATTACTTGAACTAATAGGGAGATTTCCTGCTTATTTAGCCAGGTCTCCGAAAATATTATGTTGCGTATTAACAACCAACTCTCTGGGAAGAGAGGAAGCATATTCAATTTGCTCTTGAGCTCACAGATTCGCTACATTTACAATTCAGTTAGTGATTATCAGTGCTATCCATGATCAGTGGAACAATTGTCAGCAATCTTAACAGTCGCTTAAAAGGATTCAGTGCTCAGAACAGAGAAAAACAATTCTGAGTTAGTTACAACATCTGGGAGAGTAGTTGTAGTCCGGTCTTAGAGATGTCTCAAATCTACTTAATTTGTTGTTTCGTATGATTTAAACTTAAAAATATTTCTTCGGATTTTCTTTGAAAGGATTCACTATAATGTGATGTTTCACACTTGTTTACCTTGATGTTTTTCGCAGCTTTAAGCAATGCTATTTTATCCGGAGTATATAAACTTTCCAAATAAATATGGTTTTAAGTGCTTCCCTACATAATTTGAAATTTCTGGCAAGTTGGAAATATTTACAGGTATTTCAGCCAAGTTTCCTTTTGGTTTGGCGCCACGATCAAGCCCCCGTACTGTTCACTACCACATCATTCTGAGATTTGGGGTTGGCCACTGCCAGAAAATTGAATCCAAAGCAGGCTACTTCTGATTAATAAGAAGAATAATCCTTGCATTTGATACAGCGCCTTTTCACGTCTTCGAGATGTCTCAAAGCACTTCATAGGATACACTGTAAAGTGAAATGACTGTGTATTTTGTCGGTCAAACACGGCAGCCAATTGCATACAGCAATGTCTCACAAACAGTCGTGGATTGGGTGACTAAATTATTATTAATATTTTTGAAGGGATTATTATCCCCAGAAAAGCGATCCGCCGCCAATCGACTAACAACCGGGTTCCTACTTACTGCTAGGTAAACAGAGGCGTGTTTGTGTGTGTCTGTGCGTGTGGACTAAGGAAACTTGCGTAAGGTTTCGCCCTGCCTGGGAAGCAAACCCGGATCCTCTCGCTTGTGAGGCGAGTGCTCGAAACCCTGAGCTACAGTACTCCACACGTCCTCTCGCTTGCGAGGCTGGTGCTTGACGGAATTGTACATGGATACGACTGGTCTTTGGGCTCATATGCTTATAGATGGCGATAAAGGGTCGAAGTCTGCGTACTGGGAGCTCGCTGAGAGTGCGGGCTGACTGCCAGTCTACACTCAGTTCAACAGATTTCCAATGTTTCATTTCAGGAAATCTCAACTCAGAGTAGTTTTGGATTGCTTGCTTAAAAGTATTATTGTATTACTTTAGTATTCCACTGTCGAGAAAGAAACTGTCAAATTCAAGTGGATTCAAAAACTATAAACTGTCTCAGAGCGCATGGGCTTGAAGTTTCAAAATGTAATCTGTTATCTCAAGTATATACAGTAGCTAGTTATATATGGGTTTATTGCTATCGATGGAATTAAGAGTTTTCTTCAAATTATTTGACTTCTTAATTTTTTATTACCAAATTCAGCTCTTTGCTTTTTCTCCTGTAAGGTTGGGTCTGGTAATTTGTACAGGGCATAACAATTCTTTAACTGATCCTCCACACCTGCAACTAGCTCAAAGAAAGACAAATGGATCTCACTACTTTACTTTTTTTTATATAGATGTGTGCTATAATCATTAAACCCAGTTTCAAGCACAATAAATAGAGATCACCAGGTTCCCAGTCAATGCAAAACCAGAGAGATCAGGTGAGCAATTTTGTATCAATTACAAAAAGCAAAAGCTTGAAAAGTATCCCTCTAAGTAAATGATGCACAATATTTATTTTTAATAATAATCCTTGCATTTGATATAGCGCTTTTCTGTGACTGATCATAAAGCTAGAATTTCTATATATGCTAAAATGAAAAAAAATGAAATCTATGTAACACAGGACTTCAAAAGCAGTGGTAACATGGTTAGCTATTGATAATTTAAAATAGCATGCATGAATTAGACATCCATAGAACATTGCAAGAACAGAGTAGACACAGTTGTTGAAAGTAGCCACAGGTGAAAGATGGTGGAGAAAGACAAGTGATTCAGAAGCATCATGTACAAACCATATACAAATGGATTTCTATGATGCACCATTTGTAAATCTGTATAGGTGGAATAAGTATGCTTAATTATGTGAGTAACAAGGAATGAAAAGGGTTTATGATGCAAAACAGTCAATCTTTTGCTTGATGGTTACGTACTTAAATGCACCCAGAATCCCTTCTATGAACAACAATTAAGATATGGCATTTACGAGACTCCCTAGTCACATACAAATCAAAGGATTTTGATGCTACCCAAACAAACATTTATACAAAAGAAGCTGAAGATATTTGGCAAAAAGTGAATTTGCATTGTATATCCAAACAACAGGATCAGATAACAAATCAAGCAGATCTGAGACCAACTCCGAAGCCACAAATAAGAAATATTTTAATAATAAATATTTGAGATAGCGCTTTTCATGTCTTCAAGATGTCTCAAAGCGCTTCACAGAATATACTGTGAAGTGAATTGACTGTATATTTGTGGGCGAAACGTGGCAGCCAATTGCACACAGCAGTGTCCCACAGACATTCGTGGATTGAGTGACCAAATTTTTTTTAAGGATTATTATCCCCAGAAAAGCGATCCGCCAATCGATTAACAACCGGGTTCCTGCTGGTAATTGAATCCAGGTTGCGCTACGATTTAATTGAGGTTGCTGCAAATCGTGGCAAGAATATTTTGCCCTAAGAGCTTCAGAGTCCACTTAACTGTGAGCAGACCACTTCTACAGCACTTTTGGTCACTAGGGTGACTGTAGGCAAAATAATGGTAATACTGCAATTTTAAAACTATATAATCAATTTATATTAAGATTTCTCCAAAACTAAACTAAATATTGGAACATTCAAAAACACTTCAGAAATCGTTTTAGAATGTCAAAAGCAAATAGATAGAATTTGCAAATGACTACGCATAGGGTTCACAACTCATTACATTCAGAAGATTTCAATGTTCTGAAAAGATTTACTCCTTGTGTTCCAAATGATTGGTCTTTGCTTCCTCTGGAATGGAAATTCCACCAGATTTACATGAATTTCTTAGCATTTCAGGGTGTCCAGAATTTGGCAAATTCTTAAATGCAGCCTTAATTTTGAAGCCAGCCAGAATTAAAATAATTCTGTGAATTCTTTTAAGAGCTACAAAATACTTGCTTCAAGGTAAGACTCTATTCAACATTTTGCCAACTTCTGCAAGCTGCGAAACACTACATAAACTGAGTAAATCTAATTCCAAATAGAATTTCTCTGCATTGGTTACTGATTTAAAACAGACATACCTACACAGAGAGTGATTACAAACTGAAGCTCAAACTTTTAAAATACAATTAAATTCAATACAAAATAAAACACAGACTGAAATCCTCCTATTCTGAAAGAGTTAATGTTGCTTGTGCAAACTGTGGAGATTTTCATACCTTTGTTCCATCGCACTAAAAAACGTTTCAATCTTTTCTTCCTTCTCTTCTGTGGGAGGTGATGCACTGTCCAGTTCCTCCTGACTGCACTCCTCGATCTCATCTTCAGTAGTTGATGCAGACGGCTGGAGTTCAACATTCACCCCGGTCTCCTCAGTGGCCACATCTTCTGATTTGGAAAGATCCATTATCCCTAAGGAAATAACAGGGAACAAAAACACAGAATTAGACAAGACTGTTTAGAAATATAACAATTAGGACACTAGAATTAGCTAATAAATTTTCACCATTGAATGCCATTTGAATTAAGTATCCAATATATATTTTTTTAATAGAAAAGGGGCACACAACAGAATTCTGATATTTCTATTATTTCTTTCTCACAGGTTATTGAGAATGCAGTAAAAATGAAACAAAAATGCTTGAAATATAGTGCAAGTCAATCAGTATCTGAAAGTGAAAAATAGGTTAACATTTCAGACTGGCCCTATATCAGGAATATCAAAGATAGTTTAACTTGTTTTTATTTGCTGTATTGGCTCTTATACACGTCTTCTCTTTACCGCAAATAACAAAGAAATCTCAACGTAAAATCTTGATAAGAGCACGTTCTCGTTGTTAAACTGGTGTTGTATATTCTCTCGTGGCTGGTGGGTTTGCCACTGAATAGATATGATAGTCTCAGCCAAATGAATTAACAAAATACAAAAAACACCATTCAGAGACTGAAGTAGAGGCTGTGTGCTGCATGGGCAGTTTCAGGATTGTGCAGTGCTGCAGTCGAACCATGCTCGCCTTATCAATTTGCATACAGTGATGGCCTGAAGTATAGTGCTCCTTTTCTTCAATCTCAGCTGACGAGAACAAAAGGGGATGTTTCAGAAGAAAATAGTAAGATACTGGACAATGTAATGTAAGCAAAGCCATTGCCCATTTGCTTGATTGCCTTTTTCAACACGCATTTAGATCTTTTTTTTATATATATATATATATAAAAAACAATTCAAGTATAGATTTGGTAGTCGGCGCAGCACGACGCATATGATGCATTTTTAAAATAAATCTTATAAAATCCACAAAACCAAATCTGAGGACATTTTACAAGTTAGAAGCTAATCGACGCAATAACACTTTCATTTGCATAGTGCTTTTCATGTAGGGCAATGTCTCAAAGCACTATGCAAAAATCTGATTTAATTTCTGCAACAGAAATTGTCATTAAATAATGCTGTAACAGATCAACTCCGAGGAACACAATATATTTTGTAAATTAAAATTAACTTGTTTTTTTAAAAAAAACTCAAGTGCATTTTTATTTCCTCTTTTAGGTAGACGTGGATCATTGAAGTATTTTACAATTAGCCAAGAGCAGCATTTCCATGTGGGCATTGAGACGTTCTCCTGACATGAAATGTAATTTGTTGCTGTTTATCATATATCCCCTTCAATAAGTTTTCCTCCATCATGCTGTCAATTGAGGAACACTACTCCAAGGCTTTGCTGTTTCTGCTCTATAACCAGAGTGACTCTGCAGCAACTTTGCTGTCTTAAATAGACTCACCCTCTGTACCATTTTCTACACTCTCCCGTCTTGAAATTACTTCATGTTGATCATGGTTTTCACTCAGTTCCCGTTTCCAAGTATTAACGTTGGCTTCTTCTATTGCTGACCCATTTTGACAATTGTTGTTTAGCTCTTTCCTCCTAAAACAAACAGTAAGATTATTGCCTTAAATAAAAGCTGATGGTGATGAGGAAGGTGGGAGGGAAGATAGGGAAAAGGGAGTGATTTAAGTATATAGTTCTTCCCTTCATCAAAGTTACATAAATAAAGGATCACGTTTCAATGAAAGAAACTTTTAACAATCCATTTGTGGTTTGGGAGGAACACACATGTTGAATGATGATGTCACAAGTTATTTACTAATATTTGTACAGTACGGTGGGTTTAGAAAGCTGCTAAGAGATTTTTCCAATACGACTCTTTAAAATATTTTCTTTCATTTATGCCCCAACCCTCACACAGATATGTTATTAACTACAACTCCCCACGCCTGAAAATCATTACCACTATTACCTTTCCACAGCACTGCAATTGGGCAGAGGAGGATGCTTAACCTACAAAAGAAAACAGTCGAGAACAAAGTACAATGAATTCAAGGGTTTGAATAAATTGTCAAACACCAAAAAAGACTTCACATTGTGTGAGCTTTGCAGAAAGAACAGGTATATTCATATATGTACTTATATGTTGGAATGAATGAAGCAACTTTACAATAATTATCATTAAACTAGCAACTGTTTTTCTTGTAAACAAACACAACAGCCATTTTGTGCGCGACAAGGTTCCCCAAACAGCTGGAAGGTGAGTTACCTGGAAGACTGCTACCCACTGCTAATTTATTTACTACAATGTGGTAATTACTCACTTCTCCACAAACCGTCTGCCTCAATGTGGCCTCTCAAGAGCATTTGCTCCTGAAAGATTTAATACCTAAATGATCCACATCAGCTTTTCTCCTGCGTAAGAATGACAATAGCAGCTTCAAACTGTGCCTTGGACTTGTCCCATTAAAAAGGAGGGTCACAATACACAAAATCCCGACACTAGGACCTGTCCAGTCAGTTTAGATCCAGTCCTAAACTTTTTTTAAAAAAATAAAGTTTGGTATTTTTTAAGGCAGAACATTTAATCAGATAAAACAAAATTTAAATGCAAATCAGGTACCCCTTTTTATGCAGTGGTTGATCAATTTGAAATACAGAGATACTAATATCGAGATACCAACAAAGACATCAAATCTGTTGCTGGATGCTGAATTTGCCCCACTGCTCATCATTTTCAATAAGTAGGCTAAGAGCAGACACCTACCTGACAGTAGAATACCATGTTTCAATACTCAACTCAGAAACATTGAAGAGAGAGTTTTCATCGAGTATCTTATATTAAGTTGCAATTGCTTATTTTATATAAATATGATATTCTTTGAAAAAAATGCTCAAATAGCCACAAATCATCAGAGGTTACAAATTAACTTAAGACAGGCAGAAAACCTACCCGGTTTGGTTTCATGATAGCCATGTGCAGGGAGTCTAGGTGTGTGGGATACAACAGTTCAGGTCCAAAGGTAGTGTTTGAAATTTGCATGCACTCTTCCAATGTTTTCATGAAGGAGTTGCAAGTTGTTCTTAGAAGAGCTCCCATATCAATCTTCTCGCAGCACATACAATTACAGGGTACAAGGAAACATGGTCATCAGATTAAAATTTTACTGCAGTCAAAAGTCAGTTAGTGATAGGGGAAGTGTCACAATTGGCTTAGCCTGGCAAATTTGTTAACCAAACCCCAAGCCGATGCAATCAAACCACATAACCAGTCAGGAAAACACCTGCTATACCATGGAGATAAACCAGTAATAGATCAGCTATGGGTTATGCTAACAGCTTTGTGATGGATGAAGGAGAAAGAAATGTGGTGTGCACTGCCTCTGTATTCTCAGGCCAGGGTTTGGGAGGGAAAAAGAAACTTAACCTACTATATCCTCACCTACAAGGCCATTCACGGCCTTGCTTCCTCCTACCTCTCTGACCTACTATCCCCCTACCTTCCTGCCCGTACCCTCCGTTCCTCTGGCTCCGGTCTGCTCCACATCCTCCGCCCCAACCGCCCTACCATCGGTGGCCGCGCTTTCAGCCTCTCAGCCCCCAGGCTCTGGAACTCTAACCCCCAGTGCCTTCGGGGCCTCCTCCCTTTCCTCCTTCAAGGCCGGTCTCAAGACCTTTCTCTTCAACCGTGCCTTCAGCTCCCCTCTCGACTCTCTACCACCTCCTCGCTCCCTCCCTTCCCTCCCCTCACGCTAACCATTTCCCCCGTTCGGGTCCCGATCCAACTGTCCAGTGCCTTGGGACGTCCTCTCGACGTGAAAGGCGCTCCATAAATGGAATCTTGTTGTTGTTGTTGCTCTGTGAGCCAGGGGGAACTCGATGGCTGAATGGCCTAACACTCGCTGTAGATTTCTATGTTTCTATCTCCTTAACAATGACAACACATTTCATTTGTATAGCACCTTTCACATCAGGAGGACATCCCAAGGCGCTGGCCACAAATACAGAAAATATATTGAGCGTGTGTGTAGCGGGGGGGACAAAAAGAACAGAAGGCGGCAATTTGCAAACTAATTTGTTTGCAATATTGATTTATACTATTTGTGTGTGTTAATAGTTTTGGTGTATAAAGTTCACTTATATCCATAAGGGAATGGAAAAGAATCAAGTGCAGCCTGGTGGGTGAGGTAAGGTAGACATGTATAGCAATACTCCTTTCTAACTCTACAAAACTCTTTGATTTACGAAAATAATGAACCAACTCTTTGATTTTAGAAAATAATGAACCAAAAGCAGGTTCAAAGTCATGTAGATGACATGACCTGGCAGACGCTGAGGCCTATTACTGTGCCTAATGTTACTAGCAGATGTTAAGCTCCAGGAAACAAGCCACAGTACAAATACCAGCACTCCTGGCTATTAATAAAAGTAACAATATGTACAAAGCACATGTTGATGCAATTTGATAAAGCTGCTTGATTAAAAAAACATTAAATAAAAAACACCTTTCAATCTGCTCCAAATGCTTTGAATACATGCGAGGAGCAGTCTACCTTTAAACCCTGTAGTATACCCTTCATTCAAATGTTAAAATAATTTTAAGAAAACAGCTCTACCTGCATCCCAAAATATGCCTGCCATGCAAGCAATGTTTTCTACATCTTAAGAAAAAGTAATTTGCAGGTCTATGAGGAACAGACACAAATGGGATTGAATTGATTTCTCTTTCAAAGAGCCAACACAGACATGATGAGTCAAATGATCTTCTCTGTGCTGTAAATTGCCATTGTACCAAAGGGTACCAGGCAGCCTCTGTATGGCACAGATAGTTGTGAAACTTTGGCAAGGAACCGTGTTCTCAGTGGCCACCTGACAGCTATCCAGGAGTGATGCCTCTAGATCCTTTGGATGGCAATATCTTGGCAAATGCTTAGATTTTCCAAAATTCTTTTGGGAATTTTGGGAACTCAGGTCGTCAGGAATGGTGATTGAGAAAGAAAACAGTCCCAGCCTCCATAGACAAGTGTTGTAACAGGCACAGAAATACACAAGCTCTCACACCATATATGGTCTAAAAGGACAGGGCACAATGAGACATTTTGTAAAAGGAAACAGTAAACAAACTCCAAAGCTCCCAGTTGATGTTTTCTCTAGTCCCTTTTTAACAAACCTATGGGAAAGTCCTCTTCGTATTTTAACCCTTTCCCAGCTCCACACAAAATACCATTAGATCTCATTTGTTGTGGCCAGAGACCCATTGTAATTAAATACCTGTGTTGATTATGGGGTAACACTGGACAAAGGTCCGGCACTTTGCCCTATGGATCAGAAGGCTGGTCACCCTAGCCAGTAACTTTGAGTGTGGTTGGAGGCAGATCACAAACCTCATCGGTTAATCACATAGAGTGTGTGACAGAAGCAAACAGCTTTAAATGAAATGTCATTCGTAAATTTTAAAGGTCACATTATAGTATATTACTCACTACTGACTTGCCTATTGTATTATTCATATAGAAAAATAAATACTTTCACTGCGAGCCAGAGCACCACCCAACTGTATTTGATCATTAAGTTCCATTTCAACAATTTGGGGTCTATTTCGCAACAATGTGCAAATGAATTAAAATAAAAGGGCACTAATTATGGAATTCATCAATAAATAGGTTTGATTATAAAGTTAACAAACAATTCCTGTCATTGGTTTATATTTCCACAGTTATGGGCACCTGCAACTCTCAATGTACTTGTTTACAAATGACACATAATTCACAAGGTTCACACATGGCACATAACGGAACCCATTATTTACACAAATCCAATGAATGTTGCATAACATGTGCCCGATAAAAGCCAATAACAATAATTCTTGTGTTTGATGCAACACCTTATGACATCAAAATATCTTAAAGCATTTTGCAGTAATTACTGTTAAGTGTAATAACTGTGTACAAATAGGGGAAATAGAAACAATAAAATGTCTTTACTGTCCGTTCTACAGAATTTACATTCTACACATCTAGAGATGGTACGAGAACTTCTGATGATGGATATGCACAATGCAATAGTAATAAGCACCTCTGAACTGGTTGTATCTTTAGACTGATCCAGTTGTGTATTTTCTTTTAAGGTGTTCACTTGCTGGAGGAGAAGATCACAATATAATCTCAGTTCGGATATCTTCTTTTTCAAGCATTCTGTATTTTCACCTATTTCTTTAAAACAAAGAAAAACATAATTTAATTAAAAGCAGAGGGGATAGAATAACATGTAGAAATGAAATGTTCCACGCCATGGGACTAGCCAATGTCAATAGCAAGGCAATTCTGCTGTGTAGATTGCAGGCTCAACTCCAAATATGCCAAGTGCTTTACAGGAAACTCTACCCATGGTACAAAGAAAGACTCAATTTCTCAAAGGTTACCAGAGGATGACAAACCACCATCATCCATGAGGATGGGCAACTCATTCTAATCTCTGTTAATGCCATTCTTGAGCTTACAGTGCATAATTATCCAGAACTTACTTCCCCTGCACAAGACTGCTGTGCCCTCCCTCATGGTGAGGACACTGGAACCCTGTAGCTCAGTGGATAGACAGAGCACTCACCTCGCATGCAAGAGGACCCGGTTTAGGGTGGGCGAGACGGGGGATGTGAAACAGGCCAGAGCCTGCTGAGCGGAGGGAGCGAGCAGGATGGTAGGGGGTTAGGAGGTCCCAAAGGTAGGGGGGAGCAAGGCCATGGAGGGCTTTGAAGGTGAGAACCAGGATCTTGAACTGTATCCTCTGTGGAAAGCCAGTGGAAATGGGCGAGGATGGGGGTGATGGGGTCGTGGAGAGAGGACACGGGCTGCAGAGTTCTGGATGATCTGCAGGCTGTGGAGGGAGTAGTTGGGGAGGCCGACAAGCAGGGAGTCTGCGTAATCAAGCCTGGATGTTATGAATGAGTGTATGAGGGTCTCGGCGGCCTGCGGTTCGAGTCAGTGGCGGAGCTGGGAGATGTTGCGGAGGTGGGGGATGGCAGAGCAGATCATGGCATGGATGTGAGTTGGAAAGGATAGTTGAGGGTCAAACAAGACTGGCTTAGTAAGGTGGAGTATGCCAGAAGTCAATGGATATTATTATTATTAAGTCTCAATGACATGATAAGACACCATATGAGATACAAGGATTATCATTACTGTTCTCTGATTGCACCTCTCCAATACAACCTCATTGTCACTGTTAGAGCATGAGTTATGACTGAGCAATGATTAAAAAGCTGCGGCTCTTCAGTCTTGAAAAGAGACATCTCATAAGGGACCTCATATGAGGTATATAAGAGTCAAAATGAGATTGAGAAAGTAAACCCAGAATAATACTTCCACATAAACCAAGGCAGCAGAACAAGAAGGCACTGGTTTACTTTTGCACAGGGCAATTTCAGGACAGACCATAGGAAGCATTACTTTATATATGCCGATTGGAATTTTTATTAGGAATGGGGATCAATACCAGGAGGCTGGACTCTTAAGAAACAGTCTGATACTGCAGTAGGGTGGGAATTCTGAAAGGATGAGATCAAAAGTTGCTGAAGGGCCTACTTCATCCGACCCTCTCTTACGATCATAGCCTTCTACTGTAAAATATCTTATATTGTAATGTTACGTGTCAAAAAGAAAATGCTATGGCTGTTCTGACGATGGATTAAGAAAAAACTACCTTTCTCTCTCTTTGTCCTACTATCCATTAGACAAGCCTTGGATGACCCCAAGGCAACAATCCATTTTTGTCTCTCAGCAGCATTAATCGCCTTCAGGTAGAAATGTTGCTCTCCTGGGATGATCAGCTCCATTCTTGTGCTGTCACCGGTGTGTACTGTAAGGCAAAGAAATCAGTTATATCACAGGAAGATGCCATGATGAAGGGGATTCACAAGGACCTTTTAGCTACATAAGTAGAAACTCCAATCAAACAGACAACAATAAATTGAACATTGAAAATGGGGTTCAAAGCACGTGAGTCACAAAGAGGTCGATTACTGGTGAATCCTGGAGGTCTCACACCCGATCCTCTGGAACTTCGATATAATGCCAACGGAGATTAGCACCAAGTGGAATTGCAGAAGGTCGACCGTGATACGTCTAGGGATTCACTAGTTACAAGTTCTTTTATAACATCGCAATTTAGTCCCTAATGTGTGACAGATGCAACAGATTCTCAATATCACATTCGTCACTGTACCATACAAGCTGTGCACGAACAGATACAAAGCAAAGACATTATTGGGAGTAAACTTAAATTTAAACAAAATTGGACAAGCCAAAAACTGAGCAAATCAACATTGAAAAAAATTATTTTCAGGCATATTTTCAAAACAAACTTGCACTCCAATAGCACTTTGCAAGTAGGATGAATGTCATAAAGCTCTTTATAGATGCAATAAAATACTCCATGCAGAGAAGAGTGAAATTTTTAGAGGTTGACGAAAAGCACGTTCGAAGACATTTGCTTTTAAAAGCGTTTTGAAAGTAGGGAAGGGGCAAGGCAAAGAGATTTTGGAAGAGAATTCTAAAGGACAGGGGCATATTGGTTACAGGCTACGTAGTTATGTAGCTTTACTAGAGCTACGTAATAGATAGGATCAAGCTCAAGATCAACATGATTAAATCCTGCCAAATATAATGTTGAAGCACAAATTTATAATCCAGTCATTTGAGAGAATATTTTCAGCCTTCTCATCTCATCGCATCTGATCAAATTGCAAGAAAGATTTGTGGTTAAGCAAATCTTTCAATTTGATTATTTTTAATATTGTCAAAACAACAAGCGCTGGGAGTGGGGACAGGGAAAGTGAGGTCTTCCCGGGACTTAACAACCTTCAAGGAAACACTCCTAGTAATGCTGAGCTGCAAGGCAGACTTGGAGGTGCATAAATACTACTATTACTACAACTATTAATAAAATAAATAAATACCCCAATGCCTAGAGTGGTCCGAGGTGGACAGGTGCTGTGCTGTTATATATTTTAATTAAATGCTGACATTACTGGAGATGTGATGAAAAACATTCAATCATCCATATTGCATTCCTAAAGCGTAAGTACCACCAAGGAGTTTAGCCTGTTTGATCGCACCCCATGGATTTACATTTAGATCTCCAGAATATACAACTCCTGTCTTTTTCCATTCCATATCAACAGATAGGAATCACTTTGGTGATTTGTACCACCAAAGTGATTCCTATCTGGGATATGGAATGAACAAAGCTTAAACCAAAACACTCCAGAGGTCACTGTAGCAAAACTACTCTAATTTAGTTTAATTCCTTAGATGAACTGGTAAAGCAGCCAAGCTGATAAATAGATGTTAGATTTGAACCCAAAAGTGGGACAGACTTTCTACTTTCATGAAATAACAATACATCAAAAGCCTCCTGACTCAGTTGGTAGCACTTTTACATTGGAGTTAAATGTTTGTGAGTTCAAGCCCAACATCAGATCTTGGAACTCATATTGTTTAGGCTGATACTCCAATGCAGCGCTGGGGGCATGAGGTATTGTTGGAGATGCCGTCCTTCAGGTGGACATTAAAATTCTCCCAATGTTCTGGCCAACAACCATCTAAATAAAATTGGTCATTTCAACAACAACAACAAAATTACATTTATAGAGCGCTTTTCACGTCGGGAGGACGTCCCAAAGCGCATTCATTCCATGGCTGCTTGTGGGACATTACTGTGTACAAATTGGCCTGCCAGGTTTCATCAACAAAATATAGTCACCCACTTAATATATCCTGCAAAGTGCTTTGAGATGAATTGATGACATGATAATGTGCTATATCAAATACAAAGCCTATTATCAAAAAACTATTTTCAAAGATCAAGAGTATAAACTTTCTTACACTCCAATACAGGGTGACTGACTCTGAATATAGAGAATTACTGAATTAAAATCTCATAGTTTTTATATGACTGTATTCTTTAACATTTTCCTGGCTATCAAAGTGGTGCAATGTGGTTGGAGTTATTAATTTTTGAAGCTACGCGAGTTTGCTGAAATTTTGAAGGAACATGACGAAGCTTTCCAAACTTGAGTTCTACGGACTATTTACAGATCGACTACATAAAGCACCAAGAAATCTCCTACTTATAATTATCGATGGAAAGTCCTAATAAAACATGCCAACTATTTTAGCAGAGAACCTGTTACCTTTACATCAGGATCTCCAACACACTGTAAATAAAACTGACTAGTCTGAAGTCTTTGTAGCACAACTCATTTTAAACAGGGAAAGTCTTTACCACAGTAAACAAAAATTGCTAAAACAATGGAACACAATAACACAATTGTGTCAAAAGAAAACTTGTCAAAAAACAAAAGCTTCAATGCGTTGTTTGCTCATGACATCGCTTCTATTAAATGAGGGACAGTTCTTCATTTGTCTTTCCTCTGTAACACATCAAGCTAAACAATAGTGGGGAGGCTGGTACAAAAAGGCTGCTGACACTGGATGGAGTACAGAAGTGGAATGACTTATATTTAGTTTGGTGACCATAGAAATTACAGGTTCTACTGATGCAAACTACTATATTGAGCTGCATGTTCTAATCCCAATTCCCTGCTCTTTCGCCATACCCTTCTTTATTGTTCTTCTTCAAATGCTTATCAATTCCCTTTGAAATGTCGTTATGGTCTTAGATTCAATATCCACTTTTGGCAAAGCATTCACTATTCTAATAACTCTAGTATAAAAGATATTCTTCTAACTTCACCCATGATAAAGCTATCAAAGTGCTGCATTAATGTTATATTTATGACAGATAATGGAAGCCAAAATGAACACAATGCAATTCCTATTTAACATTCCAAGAAACATTAATCAAAAGAGATTACTTAAATAAACCCTAGTTTTCCGAAGGTTTCCAACAGTGGGAGGCAAAATCCAGTGATGAAGACATTGCTTCATGGCATGGTATGGAAAACATTAGGAAAGATGGGGCAATCGGGCTAACTTCAGCAGCAATTGGTTATCTCCACCTGCTGGCAAATTTGCCTTGCAATAACAGTGTGGCTTTGTCATCAGGATATCAGAAGACTGAATGGACAGAGCTGCTTTTGAAAGCTATTTTACATTTCACAGTATAGATTAAAATATAGACAATACCTTCTTTCACAAATCACACAAATCATGATCAGGAGCCTTAAATGGTCTTCAAGACCATTGTCATAAAATATAAGATTTGTAAAGAATTTTAGAAAATATTTAAGGAATGAGACATCTCTGTTTTGCGTGTGCACAATTCGCCTGCAAAATACACAGCCTATTCATTTTGCAGTATATTCTTTGCAATGAATCACGTGAAGAAAAATTACAGCCACAAATCTGCATCACATCTAAGCCCTGGAGAACCAACATTTGATATAGTGCCTATAATAATAATAATCCTTGCATTTGATATAGCGCTATTCACGTCTTCTAGACGTCTCAAAGCGCTTCACAGTATAGACTGGAAAGTGAATTGACTGTATATTTGTGGGCGAAATGCGGCAGCCACACAGTAGTGTCCCACAAACAGTCGTGGATTGAAGTGACCAACTTACTATTGTTTTTTCTTGAGGGATTATTATCAGGCATTTGGAGTAAAGAAACTTGCCCAGGTTTTCGCCCTGCCGGGATCGAACCCAGGTCCTTCACTTGCAAGGCGAGTGCTCTAACCACTGAGCTACAGGACTCCACAATACCAAAGCGTCTGAAAGAACTTCACAGGCAAATGTTATCAAGTGATTGTGCGTTTGTAAGCAAACACAGCAGCCAATTTGCACACAGGATCCCACAAACAGCCATGAAGCCAATAACCAATTTATCTCAGGAAAGTCCCTTTTCTCTTCGAATAGTGCCATGGGATCTCTACCATTCATTTGAATGGACAGACAGGGCCTCGATTTAATAACTCATCTGGAGGATGGCATTTCTAACAATAATACTGCATTAGAGGGTCAGCTAAGACTGTGTACTCACAGTCCTGGTGTAGACTGAAGTTACTAAATGTGAACATTTATAGATTGAAATGCATCCTAAGATATTGAATACTTGCATTAGATTTTCTATTGAGTAGTTACTTCCTAACAAATTAACTCAGAAAGTCCCTCTACTGCACAAAACAACTCCACATTTCAACACAGGTTGAGTTTCATCATAGAGTTATGATTGTCAAGGAAACCAAAAAGTATTAAGTTTACCCAATTCTTAGATGACAGGCCCAATTAACTTAATCTTGCACTTGTTTTAATTTCTGAATGCAATGATTCACTTCCAAGAAACATTCACTACACATTTTGTACATTTCCAACAGTAAGCAAACCTTTTCTTTACATAGTCATGATGACCCCCCCCCCCACCAAGGTCCGGTAGTGTTTTGCAGGTCGCTTTGCGAGTACCTATTTCAAGGCAATATTTTTATATTATGCCCCTTCCAGCTCATTGCAGTTATGCAATAAGATTTATTACAAAGATGGCATCAAGCAAGGTTTGGAAAAAAACATTAGTGTTACTTCATGGTGTATTATATTTCATCAGTCCAATTTAAACACTCAGCTTGTCAGGAATAAAAAAAACTTATTGCCTTCAGTCTGTCAGTAATAATAAATTCTAGTCTTTTGGAAAAACAACTCTCCTCAAACTATGCACATCTGTTACACTTGCATAGTTTACAAAAGAGTGTCTTTGGAAGTTAACCACCACTTGAAAAGCCCTGGACAGAGTGACACCTGAATTCAGCCCCACAAAATCTATCAAGTATTGTTGTACCAACATAAATATAAGCTTTGTAATAATTCTTTTAGTCCTTACTCGTCTACTGTAGTTTGTTATTTTGTCATGTAATGATGATGGATTTTCCTTCCACATCCATTAAAGAAACATCCATTTTAATTTTATCTTTTTCTCCAGCTCATATTCCTACTTAATGCTCCCTGTCAGACCTGTCATTTAGAAGACCTGGCTCTCTACATGTTATTTTTGGTCTTACTTTGTTTTATTACAATAAAATGTTTAAGTTACTAATCAAATCTAGTTAACTACAACATACAGTATTAATCAGTATAACATCAGCCCACTTAAATTCTATTTAGATGCAATTATTTATTTACTCGGAAAATGGTCCATACGGTACCGTATTTCACTTTTGCCATGTTGTTTTCATTTACTGAATAACTACTATGATATACTTGTTCTTACTTTGTGGTTATCAACAGGATATTATCATCATAGGAAGTTTCTTTAATTAGGCCTTTATTCAAGGAAACAAGGTTACAATGTCACCAGTATTTAAACCGCTGCCTGGTTTTATATCAACAAGAACATTATATTGCACTAAATAAATACAAAACTTAAATCTATGTTTATTTGATCAATTATGTGATCAAACCAAGGTCCAGTCTACCTGTTCAGGTGCATATTCAAGATCCCAATGCACTATTCAAAAAAAGAAGGGAGTTTCTCCCAGTGTCCTGGCCAATAATCACCCAAATAAAAAGAACTGGTCATTCCCTCCATGTCTGTTTGTGAGCTGTTGCTGTGGACAAATTGGCTGCCGCGTTCGACCACAAAAAACCACAGTCGCTCCACTTTACAATATATGTTGTGAAACCCTTTGGAAGTCCTCTTATGTGAAAGGTGCTATATCAAATGTAACGATTATTATAATAATTTCTCAATTGATAGGTATACTGCATTTAGATCTTAACTGTAACAAATATTGGATCAGTTCATCCACAAAATAAACAGTCACAAAACGTTATAGTAAATCATTGGTAGGGCTTTGAGCTATGGAGTCCTATAACTTAGTGGTTAGAGCACTCGCCTCGCAAGCGAGAGGACCTGTGTTTGTTTCCTTATTCCACAGGCTCCATTTCATTTTAAAGCAAAAGTATGAAAGATACATCAACTTCTCAAAGCTTGCAATCATGTATAACTAAAAATGGAAACAACTCCACAACAATGTCTTCATGCATTTAAAAGTATACCACAGCTCATTCAAACAAAAACCTTTCCCTGACTAAGCTATTGTTTCTCTATTCTATTACAATCCATTTACTCCTTTGTTTGTTCAATAATTTCAAGATTTAATAAAGGTGCAGAACATTTTTCATAACAATCACAATATTCTGTAAAAAATATATTCTGCTACAGAACCTGATAATAATAATCCTTGCATTTATTGTGGCGCCTTATCACATCGTCGAGACATCTCAAAGCGCTTCACAAAATATACTGTAAGTGCCCTACAAACAGCCGTGGACTCATTTTATTACAAAAGGTGCCATGCGTTTAACATCCACCTGAACTGGCAGACAGGACCTCGATTTCACATCTCTTCTTAAGGATGTCACCTCAGACAATCCCACATTGCATTGGAGTGTCATCTTAGACCATGTGATTCCAAGTCCTTGAAAGAACTGCCTCCTGACTCAGAGGTGAAAATGCTCAGACTGAGTCAGGCTGATAGGAGTGAAGCACTCCACTGTTGCTGTTCCAGGCTCATAAAACATTCCAAACCAAGTTAGTATTAGGTTAGCAGCATTTATACTTCACCTTGTATTTCACATACTGCCATCTTAATGCTGCCTTTGCAGCCCTTCCATGTATCCTCCTCGGTGTCATAATAGGACAGAATTTCACCATTGAGAACAAACCAACGTGGCTGCCATCCTGTGCACATAAAATAACAATTTCACATTAAGACACAGAGAGTAACATAACTATAAAGTATCATAAGTATTCGCTCACTGAAAAGGTATTTCCATAGATTCATTCTCAATTTACTCCCCTTCAATCACAGGCCCTACCCTCTGGTTTTACACTTCTGGACTGGTTGAAACTGACTGTCATGATCTATATTGTTTAGCCCCTTTAGAATCTTAAAGACAGCAATCAAATGGCCTCTCAATCTTCTCTTTTCCAGTGTGAACAAGTCCAATTTACTTAATCTCTCCTCATAGTCCAGTCCCTTCATTCCCTCAATCATTCTGGTGGCCCTTCTCTGTATCCTCTCGATTTCTCCCATATGCTTTTGTACTGCGGCATCCTTTCTTGCATTTTATCCTTTTTTTTTGATATAGCGCCTTATCACATCTTCGATTCGTCTGGACAGTCCAGGGTTTGCACCAGAGCTTGGGCTAGGACTGAGGAGGCCGAGGGGAAGACAAATGGCTAAAAGTGAGGACAAACAAGAAGGTCATGAAGCAGACCTTGAAGAAGGGTTATGGGAAGGGGAGAATTGAAAGGACTCCGGGATGGAGTTCCAGAGAGAGGGAGCAGAAAGGCTAAAATCCCAACAGCCAATGGTGGAGTGGATGGGCAGAGGACATGAACAGTGCCCGTTGAACGGAGGGAGTAGCTGAGTTGATAAGGTTTGAGGAGGTCTGAGGCAAGATGGGGCAGGACTATGGATAGAACGAGGATGTTGAATTCAATCCGCTGAAGGATGGGGAGTCAGTGGAGCAGGGAAAGGATAGCGACAATAAGGTTGAGGAGTCTAATGCAGAACAGGACACGGGTTGCAGAGTTCTGGATAATCTGCACGGAGGTGAGTCCATAAAGCAAGAGAATTGGCATAATCTAATGTGATATATTAGGATTCTCAGTGGTTTGAGGGGAGAGATAGTGGCGTAGGCAGGCAATGTTACAGAGATGAGGGAAAAGCTGAGCAGGTCAGAGCATGAATTACTTGTCAATGTTTAATTGAAGAAAGTTAGCTCTCATCCAGGACTTGATGTCTGACAGGCAATTGGTCAGAACAGCAGAGGTCCTGGAATCAAGGGTGGAGGCAAAGAGATAGAGTTGGATATTATCCGCATATATGTGCAAAATTAATCCCATGTCTGCAGATGACATTGCCGAGTGGGAACACGTAACAGCCTTTGATTAAAAAACAATGCAATGACTGTACCCCATTTATTTTTTATCTTGTGGACCTAAAGACTTGCTATAAAATTAACCATTGCACTCAACAGGAATTACCTGCAAAACTACAATCGATATTTTGACATGAATAAGTGTTATAAAAATGCCAGATAAGTTCTGTCTTTCTAACTGTAGCAGTGATGGAAGTTGCAGCCTGGTTTTACTGTTGGATTGAACTATCGGTCTGGAGTCACGATACACCAGGGAGGATGCCAGATAATAATGGAACCATTAGAAACAAAGAAATAATCAGAACAGAATACATTACATCAAATTTATTTAAAATTCTGCATATTTCAGTGGGAAACAACCATACATTTCAAATGTATTAAAACGCATATATTTAATACATTTCAAATGGATTCAAAAGCAAATCTGACCTTTTGGTTACATCAATAGATAGGATTTTTTTTTAAATGTCCAGAACTATGTGTGAAGAACAAACGTACAAAGTCATTCATATTGGGAGGAGTAGAGAAGAAGCCATGAGGGGCACAATACCAGTACTGGGAAAATTGCTATAAAATGATTATAATCATTATCATCAGTGGGAAAATTGTGCAGCAAGAACTTCTCACTTTTTCTCTCCTCTCCATTAAGCATTCCAGTTACTTTTTTAAATCGTTTTCAACACAGGAATCTGACATCGCAGATACTATTAGCGTAAATGACATCCCACATAGATCTGGAAAGCGACAGATAATGACATGTACCGTGAGCAGCGATGGTGTGCAGACAGACAGACAGACAGACAGCCCTCACACCACACAACACAACACACAAGGTCAAGCTCCTTAACCTACCCCCCGCCATGTATTCCTGGGTATCGTTTAACTCGGTATAATTTTAATGTCAAACGAGTGCCAACTGGAGCAGCACTGCCCTGACAACAACAACAACAACAACAACGACGGCAGCTTCACAGCCCCACATGACCCAGATACCAATACAGATAACGCTGCTGCTTCCCCTCAGGCGGATGCAGTGCATCTTAGAGGCGAAACTTTGTTGTATTTCATCCTATTTGTGACACAGTGTCTTTTTTAAAAAAAACGACACAAAAGGCCTCTTTTTTTTCCCTCCTCCCCCCCCCCCCCAAAAAAAATAAAAAAAGCAAATGAATGAATGGATTAATGTCAGTACTTCCTGCGGGAGCTTTTGCAGACGTCAACGTCGAGGGCAAACCCTCCCCTGAAGCACTAACTAAAACAGGCCTCTCAACTGCAACTCTCTCTCGGACTCACTCACTCACTCACTCACTCACGAGCACAGCTCTTGGCGTCCGTACGCCACACAATTGTTTTTTTTTCTTTTTTAAAAAAAATTGTCACTTCTTTTTTGTTCGGGGCTTTTTTTTTAATATATTAAAGAAAAGAGAAGCCAAACGGCTCACACCCGCCCGCGGCCCCAAACACACACAGTCTCACACACACACACACACACACAGTATTTTTACTCGCGAAAAGCCTTTACCGCTCAGATAATTGGTCCACTTAGAGAGCATTCCTTCCATGATAACTCCGCGGACTCCCCGCCGGCCATTGAGTCCCTGGACGCCCCCACCCCACCAGCGCCCCCCCCGCCCGCCCAGCGCCGCCCTGCACCGCCTGCACCAATCACACGGCCCTCTCCCGGCAGCCCAGGCCCGCCCTAAGGCGGGCTCAAGAGCTGACTGACAGCCAATCGCCACGGCCGCCCCGTGACTGACGGCCCGGCCCGGCCAATCGGCGCCGGCGGGGTTGCGGTCCCGCTTGACGGGCGCGCGAGCTCCCGGGAAACGTTCCATCGGCGTCCGCTCGACTTGGGCAATCAGCCGAGCAATCAGCGCGAGGGGGGCGGGGCGTGGGGGGGCGGGGCGTGGGAGGGGGGGGCGGGGCGGGGCGCCGAGGCTTTGTGACGTCTCGAAAGGGGAAGGGGAGGGGTCGGGAATGTGATGTGTGATTGGCAGCCACGGGACCCGGCCCATTGTGACGTGGCCAATGAGCAGGGCGCGCGGCGGGTGAAGCCGTGACAGAGACCCCCAGAGGGAGAGGGAGGGACTGGCGTTCGGTGCCACGTTTGCTCCCATGTCTGAGGGCAGCGGCTGCGGGGAAGTGCAGCGGCTGCTCAGGGAGGGAAGACTTGCCGGGGGCTTACCCGGGGGGGCAGTCCTGCCGCCATGCCGCTCGTGCGTCCTCCACAGGCCCGCCGGGCGCTCGCTTTCGCCCTGCTGCTGGCGGCCTGCGTCAGCGGGGCTCTGATACCAGAGCCAGAGGTGAAGGTCGAGGTGCTGTCCAAGCCTTTCATCTGTCAAAGGAAGACCAAGCTCGGCGACATGTTGCTGATGCATTACTCCGGCTTCTTGGATAAGGACGGCACCATGTTTCACTCAAGGTAAGGAGTGGCTGTGGAGGACCGCGAGGCACTCGCCTTGGAAAGCAAACGTTGCAGTGCAGCTTTGAGATTGTTCAGGATAGGGTTTGGGTTACACTGACCCCGATTCACTGACACCGACGCTGCTCTCCACTGGTGAGGCAATTAAAGATGAGCAGATGGTTAAAAACTCCAGAAAAAGCTGCAGACCCACGAAGTCAAATATTTTTTTAATGTGCTTATTGATGTAACATCAATGGGAGATGGTTTGAATGAATTTGCATTGCAACTAATAGGGAAGAAAGTTTTAGAACCAAAGCCATGCAGTGATTCACTCACTCCCTCCTCCTGACCTGGGATTTGACAAGTTAGTGTCAAACATCCACAAATTAAGGCTTACTAAAGGCTCTTTAGTCCATCAAAATATAATTTGGTAGAGAGCTGGTGAGTTTTTGCTGGGTTGGTCCCTTGCGGTGAAGTAGTCGGTTTAAATGAAATACCAAAACAATTCTAAAAATAATAGGAGTACTTTGATGAAAATTAATGTTGCCTTTCCAAATCTGTGAACATTATTTTTAATGTAGAATATTTTTAACATTTATTTCACTACACTTGAAAACGGAGTCCTGTAGCTCAGTGGTTGGAGCACTCGCTTTGCAAGTGAGAGACCTGAGTTCAATTCCAGGCAGAGGGCGAAACCTTGGGCAAGTTTCCTTACTCCACACACCTAATAATAATCCCTCCAAAAACAATAATAAATTGGTCATTTTCAATCTACGACTGTTTGTGGGACATTGCTGTGCGCAATTGGCTGCCGCGTTCGCCCACAAATATAGTCAATTCACTTTACAGTGTGTTCTGTGAAGCGCTTTGGGACGTCCTCCCGACGTGAAAAGCGCTATATCAAATGCAAGGATTATTATTAATGATCCCTAAAAATGTAAAAAGACGATCCAAGAGCCATTATATATGAGTTTCTGTAATAGTCAATTAGATTATATTCCCAATTAAGGTCCTAGATTTAAGTAACTAAATAATTTGTTTATTGCGATAAACTTGTTTATTTAATTGTCTAAACTCCTTGATGGGACGGTGTTGTGAACTCGCTTCAAGGTGATGTACATAGCAATGGAATGTCGGAATTGAGTCAAAACTCCACGGTAGTCTCGGTAGTCCGATTCCTGAGTCCGGAGGGTCTGCAGTACTCCAGGGCACTGATAATGACAGACCAGATAGCCTGACTCATCAAATGGAGGGGCAAACTAGCCATCAGAACAGGGATTCTTTCCACTTGTTTCCATATAAACATGCAAGCTCCCGGGCATGTCAAAAGTCCTAAGGGGTAGGGTGGTCCTAGCTGGACAAGAGTCTTTAGGGATAAGATAGACCTAAGAGTGGTTCTAGCTGAACAAGAACCGGGTTGCTTTCCAGACAATGCTGTCAATGGAAAGCTATGCAGGTTATTTAGATGGTACAACTTAAGTCGTACTCCAATGCACACTCTAGGGTTCTCTAGCCTTGGTTCTTGCCCAGCTGTGCATGCTTCTCTCCAATGACCAGGTTTTATTCCTCCAGGGAGAAAGTACACAATCAAAGTATACTTCCCAGACACAGGGAAATGTCCATGTGTAGGTAGAGCTTGTGTAGAACTCTCAAATCGGTTTGGATACTCTTAAGCATTGTGATAGATTTCCAAATGTGTCAGAGACACTCAGCTGGAACAAACAAAAATATAGCTTTTGTGCATGATTTTAATTTTATATTTTAGAAAGCTACTGTTGCCCAAGTGTTAGCACGTGATTTTTTAGCTTGCCAATAATTCCAGTCTGTCTGGGTCAAATCCCTTACCAGTACCTCAACCATGAGCCACCTTCACAGCTTGTTGGGACTCCCATATTAATCGCAATGTGGATCATCCTGGCTATGTGACACTAAGCAGAGCGTCTCTGCCCTAACCACCTGGAACTCTATCCTACACTACCTCCGCCTCGCCCCCTTGTCTCAAGACCCTCCTCTTTGACCGTGCCTTCGGTCATCGTCCTACCCATACCCTCTCCGCCCACCACCCCTCCTGATCCCAACCACCAGCTCAAGTGCGGATCCATTTCTGTCCAGCGCCTTGGGACGTCCTCCTGACGTGAATCTTAGCTGTTTATACCAGAGCAGAGCTTTGCCATACGCCACTATGCGTCTGTACAAAACTCTGCTAGCCAACACTAAACGCAGGTTACGTTTTTAAAGTTATTCAAGAGCCAGGAGTGCAATCTAATTGATAAGCATTGATTCATTTCTGAATTTACCTGTTGATGATTGTTTTAGGAGCTCCAAAATCAAATTGTTGTCACCAACCTGAATCTATATGATAGTTTTAGTATCGGTAATGAATCAACATTGAGTATAAAAAAGGGCACTAATGGACTTCATTCCAATCACAACAACTCTCTATTGATTATGGTTCGAGATTGCAGATATTTTATTCATCCTGTCAGATGCTACTTTAGGTAACACTTTTAAAGCTCAAATTCCTAAAAAAGAAAACCAAGCCTACAGTCAGCATTTAAATATAAATACTGCATAAAAAACGTAAATGGAAATTGATCATACATTACAGAATAAGGAAACGGAATATATACTTGAGAAGAGCAGGCTGAAGGGAGATGTTACGGTATTGCATAATTAAGTAGAATAAATGAATGAAATCATAATATGTTCAACATGATCACAAGCTTTGCAACATGAGACTATAGACTTAAACTCAAAAGAGGGATTAAATAGATAATTTATATTCAACTACATTGCACAGAGTGGAGTGATTATTTTGAATGGGCTTCCTAGGGAAGCAGAATGTGCCAGCAAATTTCTAGAAAATTTAGATAGCTTTTTGGTGAATAAAATGAATTGAGAGATAAAAGAGAGAGAGTAGTTTAAGCACGTCTTAAAGCACTTGATAGTATAAACCGGTAAATTGGAGTGACTGTTTTCTGTGGAATATGTGTTGTGGGCCATGTGGGCATTTCAGCCGCATGGATCATTGCTGGAAAGAAACTAAATTGATTGGATGGATTTTTTTGATATGTTTTTTTCCAGTCATAAGCAGAACAACGGGCAGCCAATCTGGTTTACGCTCGGGATTAAAGAAACCATCCAAGGCTGGGACCGAGGTCTACAGAACATGTGTGCAGGGGAGAAGAGGAAGCTGACTATTCCACCAGTCTATGCTTATGGGAAAAAGGGAAAAGGTACAGAATGTAATTATACAAATGAGAAATATGCTTGACATTGCAACTAATGCAATGTATCTTCTGGCATTATTTCTGCTGCATGTTTCTCATCAGTTAAAGACAACTGATAAATCAGTGGTATGTTTTGCCAGTGCAGAGGCATGAACTGGATACTCTTGAATGCTTCGAATATATTCAGAAACCCAATATTTTCATAAAACCAACTGTAATACTTCAATGGGCTGGAAAATACAGTTTATTTTATTCAGTGACTCATTTTGTTTTCAATAACCTTCTGTGCAAATGTGGATCATGGCCTAGAACCTGCTTATCTTTAAGATTGTCTCCTATCCCGCTCTTCTGCTTGATCCTTCCGCTCATCTAACTGGACACGTCCCCTCACCCCTCTGAGTTGCCATAAGTGGCCAAGCCTTCAGCTATTGCTCCCAGTACCTCTGGATCTCCTTCACTCTGCCCCTATGTCTCCCACTCTACATCTTAATAGTTAGAATGCTGAGAATAGCTACAAAAAACAAAATAGATTGTGTCGGCAAATATATTTCATATTGGAATTAAAATACTCTAATATTGTTGTGCTTTTTATACTTTGTAAGTTACTATAGTACTAAACTATGTGTATGAGAATCTGTAACCTTGTTTTGCCTTTACTAACCATTCAATACTTTTTCTGTTTAGTAACAGACAACATATGAACATAAAATCCATGCATGTCTTTGGATTCACACTTGCATTACCCAGTGGCGATTGCATGCTGATTTTGGTTGTTGTGAGTTTTGCATTCTGGTAAGATTAGGTACCATTGGGAATTCGGGAATGGGAAAACTACATACAGCAATTATAAGTGAAGTGTGATAAATTAATTCAAGTAGTGTGCCTTAATCTTTTCAAAATTAAGTCAGATAACAAAGGAGGAATTCAATTCCTACAAGGGTTGAGGAAGGGATAAATCGGGAGTAAAAGTTAGATGCAGTCTTCTAAGATGCAATGTGAAAGTAGTAATAACAATGGCCCTACAACTCTCGTAACCGTTGAATTTTTTTTTGCTGTGGGGAAGCTAGAACCAAGAGGCAGATGTGAGGGGAAGGGATGGATATCAATATGTTAACATAATTCATTTAGTACTTTGTTTTGCATTCTATCTATCTCAGGCCATTAGGATTCTTGAACTTGAAGTGGTTTGTTTTTGTGCATATAAACTCATAACCCGGTGCGTCACCTTCAAATTTGCCTCTTGTAACCAACTCATCACTCAGCTACTGATCCAGCCAGGTCCTCAAGTCACCTTCTGGCCACAATCAATCCAGTTCTGTCACTAGTTACTTGACCATTTAAATCAAATTGGGTAGACCACACCATTTTTTTACCCCTTTCAACAGGTTAACATGCCTGACTCTCCCTTACTGAGAGGCCAGCAGCCCTAGAGCTTGGATCCACAACTGTCAGGAAGATGTTTGGGGAGGGGTGGGAGATGTTTGGGGGAGGGGGTAGGAGAGAAAAGTCTGGGGAAATAAACTTATTTTGTTATCTTCTATCCCAGCTCAAAATTGATATTTTAACAACTCCCTACAGTATGTTCTTAGTGCAATAATGTAGTCAAGCAAGGTGGTTGTGAAAACCAGTATTATATTTTCAAACTGAGTGGTTTTGAAATGAATTGACTGGGATGGAAGGTATTCTGAAGGGATTTAAAAAAATGCAAATTTAAAGTTAAATTGTGTTCATTTAATTCAAAGGCAATTTAATTTAGTCTTCTTAGTGATGAATTTTAGAAAATTGATTGCTATCACTTTTCAAATTTAATTAAAAACATACATAATATTAATGTGCATTCATGGCCATTTTAGCATTTCAACTTAATTTGTTCTAAGTCTGAGCTCTCATGGTCATTATATAACTGTTGATGGATGCCATATGTGACTTGGGGAAGTGGGGAGAGGAATGGGATCTCCTTGCAGCTAAGATGCTCCCAAGGTGACATGCTTGTCAATTGAATATTGGAATCAAATCATTCCTATATGTGTGTCTCAGTGGTCCAGTTCCTCAGACAAGGTGGGTCCACAGTACTCCAGGCCATTTCTGATAACCAAGTCATAGATAGGACTTAAAGAGGTGTAAGCCAAAACCCCCCAAAAAACAAGTAGGGTATCCTAGCTGGATAAGCAAGGAGGAAGCTTGCCAGGCAATGCTCCCAGTGGCAATTTATTCCGTTTTAGCTGGTTAAACTCTCGCAGTACCGAAACGCACACTTTGGGTTCCCAAGGCTTGGCTCTTGTCATCCTGTCCCTAATACTCTACAGAATTTGGTAAGCAGTGCGCATAGCTCCAGAGAATGTGCTTTCAATTTCAGACTTGGGTAAAAATCAGTGCTTATGTTGGTACCTATGTGGACCTCTTAATCTGGTTTGGATACTTGTAAGCATAGTGATGGGTTACCGCATATGGCAGACACCCCACTGTCCAAAAATAGCCATATTACATCTGTTCTGCCTAAAAGCTTAATTTGTTGTGTCCTTTAACATTGGGACAATACTATTGTGTTTCATCACTGAATGACTGTGTTCTACAGGAAAAATTCCCCCTGAAAGCATTGTGATATTTGAAATTGAGCTTCTTGAGATCAGAAATGGACCAAGGTCTCATGATTCATTCATGGAAATGGACCTCAATGACGATTGGAAATTGTCCAGAGATGAGGTAGGTATCCTATAGAACATTTACAACACCTGTGTTGACCATTCAAAGAGCAATCCAGTCAATCTCATTTACCTGCCTTTTCTCCCCATACCCCTGCCCAAGATATATTTTAGATAACTATCTTGTTCCCTCTTGAAAGCTAATATGTATCCTGCCTCAACCACTACACCCAGCAAAGCATTTCTCACCTTATAGAAACTCTCTGTAAATAAAACAAGTTCCCCCTTCCTCCCCCCGGTAAATACCTTACATTGATGCCTTCTCGTCACTGATCAGTGGAAATAATTTCTCCCTATCCTACTCTCTATTCCAATAAAAAAGGCCCAGTTACTTAAGTCTCTGCTCATATAATACAAATTTACCCTTATATACTGCCTTTCACGTTGGCAGGATGTCCCAAATTATTTAACATTACTGGCTGGTATATCCAACTTATCTAAAAGTCTGTATTGATATGAGATAGCCTGTATTCTAACCCATGCCAATTTCCACACACCCCCACCACCCAGGCTCCACTGGCTCCCTATTACAGAACAGATCAATTTTTAAGATCTTTACGTTTGTACACAAATCAATTCATGTCCTACCTCTTCCCTACCTCACCAACCTTATATCCCACAACACTACCCAGCCCCTTCGCTCAGCTGGCTCCAGCCTTTTACTCATCCGTTGTCCTCTCCGCTGCACCATCAGTGGCCATGTTTTCAGCCTTGACACCAAACAACACTGGAACTCTCTGCCCCAAACCTTCTATCTTTCCCTTTCCTTACCAGTCTTCAGGTAACATTAGAAATATCTTCCACTTTGACCTTGCCTATGATCACTTCCCCTCTCAGCGACAGACTCTGACATTTTTAAGCACTCCAATGCTACCCGCATGAAGAGGGCTATGTAAATACAAGTTATTATTGTTGCCTGGGCAACAGCTTGGGATGGGACCTGAGGCGATGAGGAAAGACGATCAAAAGCACGGTCAAAGAGATAGGTCTGGAGAATGACCTTGAACAAAGTGACATATCTTAATACTGCATCTTTCTGTGATGTATTACGAAATTATATCACCCCAAATTATATTGAATGCCAATCCTGTTACAGTTGTACCAAAGTAAAATAGTTTGGAGAGGTTCGGATGAGGAAGGCTCTTGAGGCCCATTTGAATCTAATTCTTCCAGAATCCCGACCCTCATATTACAGCATGTTGAACACTATAAACCTGGAATTTTCATGGCCCCTGAACCAGCCGCGTGTAATTTGGGTACTTAGTGCTTGTCCTGCTTCTTTCCAAAATGATCGGGCTCAGTGCTCTTCCCCTTTCCCCAGTTTGTTTATTATCAAATCTACAATCGAACACTTTGAAGTTTCCTTGGATAGACTGTTGACTGTCTTAGTTCACTGTCACTGCTGCTCTGAGCTAGCTGTTAGTCGCCATGGAACATAAGAACGGTACAGTGATGACTTTCCCAGCATTTGTGTCTAGCATCCAGTTCACACCTCAAGGTGACACGGTTGATATTAGAAGTTCAGTGGAGTGGGGAATCATACCAGTACATATCACCCATTGTTTTCAATTCCACTGCCATGCACCTGTCTTCAAGGACTATTTTGTGCTAGGTCAATCAATATACTTTGTTCTTGCCGTGACTGGCTCTTTCCAATAGATTTACTTGATTTCACGTTCAGCTTTAGATTACGTGAAGTGGTATGTAGCCACCACAAAAGTTGTTTTGTGCAGGATAAGTGCCACCAGGTTGAAGCAAATTAAGTGTAAAGAGTTGCATTTATCCACAGGACCACTCAAGTTTACTTCATACCATAGTAAAGAGCCTGCACTTCCACCATCTATTTGTTACCAAGGTGTAAAAAAAATGCAATGTGATAAACGTTGCAGTCAGAATTGTCTTTGACATCTCAAAATCTTATTTTACCGCTCTGACTTGTGGGTAATGTCTTGGAGTGCTTAACAGTGGGGGAGCTTGACTTCGAGCCAGGGAGAGAGGGGACATGACCGTAGAAGCAATCGAAAAGGAAGGTCTTCAGGTGTGATCTGAAGACGTACAAGGAGGGGGCAAGAGGAGAGATTGAGGTAGAGAATTCCAGAGTGTCGGGGTGTTGTGGCTGAACTCTGGCTGCTTCATTCCCCTGCCTGATTCACTCCATCATTTCAATCCATCTTTTGAATTTCTCTTCCAAAATCTCTCCACCTCACTCTCTGTTTTCAAAACCCGTCTCAAGACTCATCTATTTCATTGTGCCTTCAGCCAACCCCTCTGCCCCATCTCCCTCCCAGCACTGGCTCCCGGTCTGTCTGTAAAAGGTTTTGAGATGAGAATGGTGTTAGATAAGTGCAATTGATTGTTGCAAAGCAATATTTTTGTTAAAAAATTGAATAACCATAGCGTCATAAGCAGGTTACAAATTGAAGGCACTGGGGTGGTGGGGGGAGAGTCATAATATATATAATATATGCAATGTTACAACAAATGAATGTAAGAAATCAAGATGTGTTTTTGAATTTGGATTAGTAAAACTTTTTTTTGGTTTGTAGCAGTCATTATGCCTTTTGCTGCCTCCAATTAATGTGAAAATCGGTACATGGTGCCCTTTGAGATATACCCCTCCTGGAGTGAAAAGCAGTATAGAATTGTAAATTGTTGTTGTTGAATCCAATTTTACTTAATCCACTTTTCTTGCTGCCTCAAATCCTTTGCTACTGAATGTTTTTGAGACATTAATCCAGAACTATCTTTGTAAATTAGGTGAGGCACTATCTCCGCAAAGAGTTTGAAAAATACGGAGTTCCACAAAATGAGACCCATCAGGAGAATCTGGTGAAAGACATCTTTGACCATGAAGATGAAGACCATGATGGGTTTATATCTTCCAGGGAATTTACCTATAAGCACGATGAGCTGTAATTTGGTTTTTGCTCCATACCAGCATACTTGGACACTCTGCGTGTGAAGTTATGAGTTTATTCTCTGAACAGAAAAGTAACCAATAGATTATAGCTCTGTTTATTCCAAGATTACAAAGTAAACCAGATGTGTAAAGTTGTTTTTAGTATTTTGTAATTCCAATGTATTGATGCTCCTTTTAAAAGAAGATCATGGCTGATCTATTATTCTGCAATGGCTTGTTCAGATATTCTGGATGTGCAGTGAGTGAAGCCATTTTTGTGCTGCTGCCATTACCTGTGGTACAGTATTCGGATCTTAGGAACATTCAGAACAGTGTTACTGACACCCTCCAGTTGTACAGTGTTTGTTTAGAAAGAACTTTTTGCCATCACTTCAAAGAATGCAAAGACCTAACTGTCATCATGGCATTGGAAGATGGGGTAGAGTCTAATGAAAATCTGTTATATCCAGTCAATTCTTCAACATGGGACCTGACATCCATTTTACACTATTATCTTCCTGCCATTGATATTTGCTTTAATTTAGTGTGTAAAAAGCAGTAAACCTGCAGCGAGGAGTTGAATATATTTTTAAAAAATGACTTGGTACTAGAAGTGGAAAATATTCACATCATCTTAACTTTTTTTCCCAAATGGAAATAGACCCTTAACACCAAACACATTTGCAAACTATACTCAGATGTCTATAATTGGACCAATCCTTTTGGCACAGCTCTTGTATAATCTTTTGCCGCCTTTAAATCAAATTGTTGCAAGAAGATTTCCTAATGCTACAAAAGCCAAAGATCCTAGGCTTTTATTATAAATACAGACTTGTGAGGGTTTAGTGTTCCTACTATCAGAATTATTGATGAAAGTATAATCCTCATGTACTTGATCTTGCAGATTAAATACTAGACAAAAATATGCTTACTTAATCGATGCTTCATTAACTTACTTGGATTGGGAGCTACAATTCAACTGACACTTTCTGATTAGGATCAAGCTCTGCAAATATGTGCAGTGTTTTTGTTTTGAGGTTCACACTATTCCACTGATGTCTGGTTCAGTATGACCTGCCAGCAGATGGGTACATAATTTCAACCATTAGAAACCTGCATCTTGCCAGCACTTTAGATTTGAGGTCAGTGAGCAGAGCTCTGGATGATTCTATATATGTCTCTGGTTTCCCTGATTAGAAATCGGACCAAGTAGGCAATATAACCTCTCTAATATTGGAGCCAATGTATTATTGGACCAGAAATCAATTTCATTTGTACAGATCAGGGATACAACTGAGTAATTGATCAGGGTGAATCGGCAGAACTTGATCAACATCTAAAGATAAAATTAGATAATGTGTCAGGTGTGACCCCACTTTCCCCCGCCCCACCCATTGCAAGGCTTTTCCTTCTGCTCCCTTAATGCTGAAAGTTTATTTCATTTTGCAATAGGACAAACAATAGTTATACTCAGATATTGAAGTTTTACAGCAGACTTTGCTACTACACAAAAAAAATGCAATGTGACTGAAGCCTCGCCCTCATTACGTTTTACCCCCGCTTTATGTGCCAAATGCTTGATTCAGTTCCTTGGCATACAATAACACCTGCAGTAAGTTGTGGCCTGGCTCCATTACTTGGTTGGATAGCTCAGGAAACAGAGAATAGATGTTCTGTGTCTTTTGTATCTTTAATTTATGGAAACTGTCTCTGGAGATGTTGGATTCACATTACACATGTATTTCAGCGTCAGGACCCACAAGGCAAGTGGGACAGGCTTCTATATGTCATGGGACAATGATTTTGAGCAATGATTTTATCTCATTAATGCAGGAGTCAAAACAACACGCAATTGGTTAGGATGGTCTGATTTAACCCAAATTGAAATCTGACATCTTGCCACTGGTTTATCGTGTTTTAAATACAAAAAGATAGGTGCACAATAACAACTGTTGTTGCATCTTTAAACCATAACAGGAGCTGTTAAAAAAAACCTTTACTAATGGACCAAATATCATTGAGCCTCCAGCTTTGTAATTCTTTTATATGAAAATAAACATTTTCTTACACCTCTTCCTGTTGTTTCATACTTTAACACAAGTACATTAACCGGAGAATCTGTACAATCCTTCTTTTGGTTAATCATGGCTCACCTGCAGAGGAATAGATTGTGATGGTGAATGAGGATGATCGTATAATGGAAATGAAAGAGATGGCCTTCTTTGATGGGGGCTGAACCAGTTCTGTTACCAGATGTCTTTGCTGCTGTGAACGGTCAATATTTCCATTCTCGGTGACCAAACAACTTGTGCATATGTGGAGCCATTACTAGATATGTATCATTACTCATGATATCATCATGTTTGTAGGCAATGATGGCTCATGGACCCCCATTGCATGTGCACGCGCAGAGATTTGCTCAAACATTTGCCCAACCAGCATTCTGTAAAATGGTGGAAGGATTCAAGGTTGGCGTTCCTGAAGGTGGCTGAAGGCTGGCTCACTGATGGTGGGGCTTATAGAATAATTACTGTAAAATGCTTCCAGAGAGACCTCCGGTGGATACACGTTGATACTACAGGGTTAGGCTCAGTTGGTTAGAACTTTCACTTCTGGGCAGAAGGTGGTGCTTTCTGGGCCCATATTGTGAATTGAGCTCAACCTCGGTTGATCTCTGTAAGGGTGTCCTGCATGGGAGAAGATCATATATTTTGGATGAAATGTTAAAATGAGGTATTGGTGTATTTTATGTGGATGTTTAAGATCCTAATACTATTGGAGGAAAAGTAAATAAAATGTATCCCGGCCAACAACATACAAAATAATCACTCAGTCACCTCATGGCTGCTTGTAGGGCTTTGCTGGTGCAAATACTGCTCAATTTACCTAGAAAACCAGTTTTGACAGTTACTACTTTTGTGTGATGAGAGGCACAATGAAAATCCAAATTGTATCCATCTTTAATGAGAGCATCCAAGTACGCTTCATTAAACATGAAAGTCCACATTTCATGTTTTTAGAAATTTTGCTCAAGGCTACCTGAAGTAAAATGAATGACAAACTGTATATCATGTAATATTAGAACATGTTTGTAATCCATTATATCAACAGCAAGTGTTCACTCAATTGCAAACCTCTTGAGATGAGAATAAAATGTGCATTAAAAAATAGCTAGGCTGGAAAAATAATTTGCTTTAACTCAGCACAAAATTTTAGCTTGTACAAAACCATAACTGATGTGGCTAGAATAAGATAAGCAACTTACAAGCTGCGGGATGCTAAATAGATTTAAGCTGCATTTCCAAGTTTTAACTTAAAAGTTTATCCAATGAAACTACTTTTTGATGATCAAATTCTCCTCAGGTGACTTTTCAGGATGTTTCATCCATGTAAAAACTCACGTTGCTGATGGCAGAAATTGTTTGCTGTGAATAAATCACTGTAAATTTCTACAAACAGCTTGGAAAAGGTGACCTGGTCTAAAATAATTCACTCGGGAAGCTTTCTCTCTGCTCTTGTCTGTGAGAATGGGTTAAGAAGTTGTTTTGGTGCACAGAAGTTGATCCTGAGACTGAATAAATACATTCATGACCCATGTGTAACTTTGGGATCAAAGATAAGATTGCAGTATTGATGTTTGCCCAAGGTTATTAAAAATATAACAGTTGATATTTATTTTCTATAATCAGTTGATTGATGTGTGAATTTTAATTTTGCAGTATTTTTTCTTGGATATTATTTTCTTGACTAAACAACGAAAATTCCGAGCAGAAAAATAATAAAAATAAATTGGTCTTTTCAATCCACAAGTGTTTGTGGGACACTGCTGTGCGCAATTGGCTGCCGTGTTTCGCCCACAAAATCTACAGTCATTCACTTTGCAGTATATTATGTGAAGCACTTTGGGACATCTAGAAGACGTGATAAGGCTATTTCAAATGCAAGGATTATTAAGGTGTTTTATGACTTAACTCCTCATTAGAAAGATGCAAGTACTATATAACCTCATTAGCACTTCTGGACTGGAATAGATTATTTCCAGACCAGGTGGAAAATGGTCTAAAAGGCTAAGACAAGGTGGAATTTCAGACTTCAGAAGTATGGAATGATTGAGCTGAGAGAAGTTATCCGACATGGAGCATTCAAAAAAACAGGAAGAAATAAACCAAGGAATTATAAACCAGTCAGTTTAATATTAAGCGGGGTCTCCTTGGAGCTAAACTGGCTTCTAGTTGACATGCCTGGCAATGCAATGTCGGAATTGAGCCAACTCTCTGTGGCGATCTTTGTAGTCTAGTTCCTGAGCCAGGCAGGTCCGTAGTATTCCAGGGCACTGCTGATGACAGCGCAGCCAGCCTGTTTTTTTAATCCAATGCCCACCCTGGGTTAAAGTGGTCTTTATGTAAGGGTAGCTTCTGAGTAAGGGTTCGTTGATTCAATGACCGGGCCCCAAACTTTTTTTTAAAAAATTCACTGGCCAAAAATTTCCCTGGGCCCTTGAGTAGACTCCCGCTGGAGTCCTAGTGCATTAACCAACACCGCCTTACTGGTGAGGTGGGAAACTGTGGATATCACGTGGGCTGCTCTGTGTGGCATTGGTAAATTCTCTTAGAGTCTAGCGGGAGACTACATACAGGCCTGCAGAAATTGGTAATGCATTATTGGTAATTACACTTAAATTCACTTAGAACTGGCCACTGAAAAGGGTGTCAGTACACTGACAGGGCTAAAAAAACAGTGGCCACTGGTTACATTAGACAGGTGGTTGCTAAATAGAGGTGGTTTATTACGGAAAATGAGTCGGGACTGTGCCAGGGTGGTTGTTGACAGCAGGTAATTGCTGAATAGAAATGGTTGCCTTAACAGGTTTCACTGTATATGCATTTTCAGAAAGCATTTGTTGAAGTGTCATGTAAAAGATGATTAGCTAAAATTAAAGCACATGTGGGAAGGAATTCCACCTGGGTCGAGATTTATCCTAATTACGTAGCATTTTAGAGTATCCAGCTAGTCCACGTCAATGTTTATACTTCACACAAGCATCCTATTCCCCTCTCCTGCACCACTACATAAGCTTCATACAGTTCATCTTGGAACAGTAAGTTGACTATGTAAGCCACCTGCTTCCTCAGGTAACACACATCCCAATTGGACATTCATAGCATTGCACCTCGATCCATTCAGCCTTCTATTGAGATACCAGACAGGATAGCCATCATCAAGAAGAAACAGCATTGATATTATCAACTGATCAATATCATCTGACTGACACAATTGCTTTCAGGCACAAGGGCTTATAAGTTCTCTTGAGAAATGTCAACTTGATCAAACCATGAACTGCAGTGATCTGCATGATCCAGCATGGGATGGTGATTGTGCAGATTCAGCTGGTATAATTCTGGGGAGTGTATTGTGCCACATTGAAGGGCTGCCACCTACATCTCGGTTGTGTATTTTCAACATCCCTAATGTTCTCCAAACAGTACTGCGAGTTATTGGGTGACATTGATCCTAACGTCTCTCTGCAGGGCAGTGTGAATTTATAAATGGAATCATTGGCAATGTTTCTGAATCATTAGGTGCTGTCCGCTATCACCCTTCTGTCAGCATTCTCAATCCTTCTGTGAACAGAGATGAAAGACGGCAGTCATGTCTGGATCTCAGAGAGTTAACTCACACAAGGCATGTCAGGTATTGTTACTTTTCATTGAGTCCTAACCTTTACAGTTTCACATTGCAGTGTCATATAAGCAAGGAAAACCTAACTTTAATGATGTGGGCAGTCAATACTACTCCATATTTATATAAAACTGATACTGGCTTTGCCTTTGCGGTTTTGAGCTTTAGTGAAACATGTCATAATGTGCACTCTTCACTGACGCAGCTGTGACCTTTGGATGCATGTGCACATGGCAGGCTGCTTAATAAATGTGTAATCATCAGATGGAGTCTGGAGAGGGCCAGTAGCAAAAATGTTAATAGCAGTGAAAAGGACATTGGTTCTCATTGTAGACTAAGTTCAAAATCTTCCTTCAAATCTCGACATTTGTCAATATTGACTTGCCTGCTGAGTCACAAGCATATGCACTGTGGTCCTTAACTAATTTGCTCTATTTATGGAGCATCCAGAAACTAGCAAAATGTTAAATTCACGCTTTGAAGTTGTTTGTTGAATTCAGAAAGTCTGAACGTTTGTTATTTCTTGAAAGAACTTACAAAAAAGCAGCTACAGAGTAACGGCTGTATTTGAAAATTTGACAAATTCTAGATGTTCAGAAATGCTATGTAAAAAAAGAAAATATAGACAGCTGGAATTTCTCCCTACATATCTTTATGGGCTCAATGGACTTCTTCTGTGCTGTATATTTCTATGGTTCTAAGAATGTTAACAAGAATGTTCAATACAATATTCAGTAAAATTCTCTGCTCCATAGAAAATTCTGCTATTTAATGCATCCTAATACTTATTTCTATAATAAAAGCTGTTCCTTAGCATATTTGATTATTTGTAAGAAGTTGTCAATTTTACAAAATTCCTGTGAAAATCTTCAGCAGTATAATTCCTATTGAAATTTTATATTCTTAAAGACACAGCAGTTGACGTTTACTTTCTATAATCAGTTAATTGATTTGTGAGTTTTAATTTTGCAGTATTTTTTATTTTTATTGGATATTATTTTCTTGGCTAAACAATGGAAATCCTGAGCAGAAAAACAATAATAATAATAAATTGGTCACTTCAATCCACAACTGCTTATCAGACACTGCTATTCATAATCGGCTGCCGCATTTCACCCACAAAATATAGTCAATTCACTTCACAGTATATTCTGTGACGCGCTTTGCAACGTCTTAAAGACGTGATAAGGCGCGATATCAAATGCAAGGATTAATATTAGGATTATTATTAAAACCAGATCGACATCAGCTGTGAAGTAAAGCAATGTAGTGCCCAGTATCAGCATAGAACTATGAGCTCAAAGGCCCGACATTAACCCACAACCTTCTGACTCAGATGGGAGATTGCTAATAGCTAAACTGACATGATAGAAAGGTCAAAGATGTCTTAAAGGAGGAATGGGCTGCAGTCAATTTGTTGATGCAAATAAGGGTGATTCAATAACTTACATCATAAATCAAGTTCTACCAGCTAAAACCTCATAGCTTGCCATTGAGAACACTGCCTCGTAAGCTTTCCCACTGCTTGTCCAACTAGGACCATCCTGGCCATTAGAGATTTGTTAATTGGAGCTGAGTGGAAACAGTCCCTGCCCCCAGCGGCTTGTCAGCCCTTCCAAGTCCTGCCAATGAGCTTTGGAGCCAGTTCTGCTCCAAGGAGACCCCATCTACCTCCCCCTCCTTCAAGGAAACATCTTCACACGAACTGTTCTGAAGCTTTGGTATGCTCTTACAAACATGATGCAAATGAAATTCATAAATCACAACACTGTATATATGTGATGTGATTTCACACTGATGGGAAACATTGTGCACAAATAACTACCAGAACAACATGAGAGAATCAACAGTTAAGACTTCATATGCAATTTTAGTTTTTAACAGCACTAAGTGCGGTTTGTAAAACTGCTATTTGATGTTCGGAGACAGTTAAAAGCAGGTAGTTTTACTCCACTCCGAGTCATAGTACATAAGAAGTTATTTAACCATGACCCCAGTCACGATTTGTTCACTGAGTGCTATTGCTTTAGTGGAGGGTTCAAAGGTCTGATTATGGAAATTGCAGCTGACACTATATTACTAGAAAAAGAGAGGGATGAAACGGAAGCAAGGAGACACAGGCCTGGACTCCATGTACAGTATTTGGAACAATTTTCGGGAGGAGGAGGCTAATTGAGTTACAGGCCCAAATTATCTTATCTCAACCATACAAAGTACAGTGTTAGCAAGGGCTGAGGCTCTCCCCTATTAAGTGGCAGAGGAATTCTGTTGTTCTGATGTTCTGATTCACTTATCAACAGAGAGCCAGGCAGACAGGTGGGGAGACAACATTGCCAATGCCGCTGCAGGTGTCCCATGGTTGTTGACTTTGCCTTTATTGCACATGACTATCTTCCTTGGCGGGGTGGCTGTGGGTGGTGTGGGGGGACAGGCAAGTTGAACTGGCTCCAAGGTGACATGCCTGGCAATGGAATATCAGAATCGAGCCAGCCCTCTGTGGGAATCTTGATAGTCCGGTTCCTGAGCCAGGCAGGTCCACAGTATTCCAGGCACTGCGAATGACAGCAAAGCCAGCCTGGCTCATTGGCAGGACCTGGAAGGGCAAACCAGTCACTGAGGGCACGGAGTCATCCCACTCAGCTCCTGTTAACCCTGCAGCCAAAGCCCCAACGAGCTGGACAAGCAGTGGGAAAGCTTACAATATCAACAATGGCAGTCTATGTGTTTTTAGCTGGTATGACTCCAGCAGTACCCCAAAGCACACTCTGGAGTCCTGCCAAACTGTGCCTAATACTTTCTGGAATTAGGTAAGCAGGATGGGTCCCTCCCGGGAGAGAGTGCACATTCCATTCCAACAATCTATCTCTGAGATTTCCATGTGTAGGTGGGATGCTTGGAAATCTCAGCTTTGGTTTGGATACTCTTAAGCATGGTGATGGGTTTCTGCATGTCCCTCCAGGGAGAGAGTGCACATTCCAAAAAAAAATTATTGCTCACGTTATATTGTGGACTTCAACATGAAAGTTTCCACTCCACATTACAGGGTCATGCATTTTAAAGCACAGTACCCCGTACAGTAAATTAAAGAGTGGTAAGAAAGAGGGGAGAATTCATGTTTATAGCTCCAGTAGAGAAGCTGACACTTGGATGTAAGAATAGGTGGAGGGAATACAGGTATGTTGAAATTGGGAAGACTGTAAATAGATAAGTAAAGGGATTTAAGAGTCTTGTGCCTTAATTGTTAAAATCTAGTTTACTGCAGCCAATAAGAATCAATAAGTTTAATTGAGTGCTGGGCTTTATAAAAAGTCAATCTGGAGCAAAAAATAGCAGGAAAGTACTTTTGGTAGTCAGTTGTGTGAAGCACTCTGAGACATTCTCCCGACATGAAAGGTGCGATATAAATGTAAACTGCTGTTGTTGTTGGAATTATATTGGTCAGAAGACAGTAGAAACAGAATCAATTAATATAGAAAAACTTGAATTCAAAAATGAGGAAGTGATAATGAATCCAGAAGACATTGTATCACCTGCATTTGGTATATTATGTTTGGGTGCTGCATTTTGGAAAGAAGAGGGTGCAGAGAGGTTCACAGGATGATAGTGGTGGTGAGAGAAAATAACATAAGGATCAGATAGAATTCTTTCCATTTGAGAAAAAAANTGGTTGAGGGGTGATATGATAAAGGTGTTGAAGATAATGAAAGATTAAAGAGGATAAATAGTGAAGAACCATTTTGACTGGTAGGTGATAAAGATGAGGACAGAGATTTAAGATTATGACTAGCAGCATGAAAGGGGATGTTTGGAAGATATGAAATGACTTGTGTGAGGCTGTGGAAGCAGAGATTGTTGCGTTTAAAAGGGAATTAGGTAAGCACTTGTGGAGGAAAGGTATTAGAGGATTGGAATTACGATCGATAATAATCCTTACAATTGGTATAGCGCCTTATCAGGTCGCCAAGGTGTCTGAAACCACTTCAGAGGATATATTATAAAGTGGCATGATTGTGGATAGTTTATGGATGAATGCAGCAGCCAATTTGTGCACAACAATGTCCCACAAATACCCATGAACAATAACTTGCATTTTTATAGCGCTCTTTACACTAGGTAGCATCTTGGAGCACATTTCCTCACCCTACTAAACCCCATACCCCCATCACACCTGTCCTTGCCAGGCTCCACTGGATTGATTTCAAGATGCTTACACTAATGACAAATCACTTCATACCCTGGCTCCTCCTCTACCTCTCTGACCTGCTTTTGCCCACAAAATATACAGTCAATTCACTTTACAGTATAGGCTGTGAAGCGTTTTGAGACGTCTCAAAGATGTGATAAGGGCCTATATCAAATGTAAGGATTATTATTATTAATACCCACCTCTGCTATCTGTCCCTTTGCTCAGCTAGCTCCAGTCTTCTTCATGTTCCTCATCCCCTCTGCTCCACCATTGTTAGGCCTGGTTTCAGCCACTATGCCCCAAGACTCTGGAAGTCTCTGCCTGAATACTTGGGCCTTACCTTCACCTTGTTTGTCTTCAGATGATAATAATAATAATAATCCTTGCATTTGACACTTATCACCTATTCGAGACATTGTAAAGTGCTTCACAGAATAAATTGTAAATTGACTGAATATTTTGTGAGCGAAATGCAGCAGCCAATTGTGCACAGCAGTGTCCCACAACAATCATGAATTGAGTGACCAATTTATTATTTTTTTTGAAGGAATTATTACCCCTGGAAAAGTGATCCACCAATCGACTAACAACTGGGTTCCTACTTACTGCTAGATAAATAGAGGCATGTGGAATAAGTAACTTGCCCAACATTTCGCTCTGCCGGGAATAGAAACCAGGTCTCTCGCTTGCGAAGCGAACGCTCTAACCCCTGAGCTACAGGACTCCAGACCACACCTAAAGGCAGCGCCTAGAGTCACCTCCCCTCTCTCCCTGGCTCTGTGTCAGGCTCCACCTCTGTTAAGGCCTTGGGTAGTGGCGGAGGTGGGCAATATTTTGAACAGGTATAAAAAGGGCTCAAAAGGACTTCAATTCCGGTGTGGTGTAGCCTGCAGCTTAAAACATGACCAGCAAAGGCACATGTTCCACTCAAAGCTAAGTTCAAAAAATGAGTGTGCGTGGTCTTGCGCATTGAAAGAAAATAATTCATATCGGAAATGTCCAGCAGAGAGGGGGCACACATGAAGATGCCAACAGGTTGAGGGGGAGAATGCTGAGTTTTATATTCATTCACCAGGTGGCGCTTTACCAGGTGTCAATATTAGACACTTAATATTCTCAACAGGGTCTCACACCTTGAACACACATTATTATTATTATTATTATTATTTTTTGGCCAGTATACAGTATTTAAGATAAAATCAACTGCGTTTAGTTTGCACTTCAGCCTATTGTTTAAGGGAGGATTGATGCTTTATGACAATGTATCTGCTGTGCATGTTCCCTGTGGGTGGTGGTGGCTACAGTGCATTGTAACTCCAGCACTTGCTCTCTCCCTCCCTCCCTCCTTCTCTCTCTCCCTCCCTTCCTCCCTCCCCCTCTCTCTCTCTCCCTCCCTCCCCTCCTTCTGCTCCTATCACATGATTTGGGATCCAGGCGCTACCCAGAGCTACAGACAGACAAGTCAGTCAGTCAGACAGACAGACAGACAGCCCACACAGCACAGACAGGACAGGACAGCAAAAGCAAGGTAGGTGCAATGGCCAGTGCTTTGCTGGTGGGGCAAATAATGTGTGCAAATAAATACATATATATATTTGTTAAATGCAGATGTATGTATATATATATATATATATATCTTTTGTGTCTCTGAACATTTTGCTATTGAGTAAGCCCTGTCTGGCTGTCTGGTTGGGGAGGCTTTGCTGTGGGTGGTGGCTGGTTGCTCAGTTTTGCTGCTGCTGAGGAAACCTCTCCATCTCTCTCTCTCTCTCTCTTCCCCTCTGTAGTGTGGGCAGGGAGGCCAGGGACACACAGCTGGGTTATTGTTTTTTTAGGCTTTTATTTATTTTAAGCTATTGCAAAAAATAACAATAATGATAATAATAACAATAGCAACAATAACAATGCTGGAAAGAGGGGTTTTCAGCTGCCTGGCGGATTCCATCAGTGTCCTCCTCCCTTCTCCTCTACTCGGTTGCAGGAGGTGAGACATGAGGAGGAAAACCTCAGAGAGAGAAAATGTGGCTGGTGTGGGGGGACCTGACCTGACTCAGGCTGTGGACAGTCGCCAGCTCCCCCTCCCTCCCCCACTCCAGGCTGTATAGAGTAACTCCCTTCCTCCCCCACTCCAGGCTGTATAGAGTAGCCCCACTCCAGGCTGTATAGAGTAGCCCCACTCCAGGCTGTATAGAGTAGCCCCCTCCCTCCCCCTCTCTCTACCTCCCACAGACTGAGCTGAAACATCTCCAACCCCCAAAGCAGCCAAGCTGTCCCTAACTCACTCACTCACTCACTCACTCTGTGTCCTACCTTCTCCACCCCCACAATGCTCTTGCCACCGCCCTCTCTTTTTTTCCCCTGCAACTTTCCTCTATTTTGCTCCCCACCCTATCATTACTCCCTTATCAATCATTTATGACTGCCCTTAAATGTTTTCTTTTCTTTGTATTTTTGCTAAAAATCCAATCCATTCCTTAATTGGAAACTTGTCATTTAGTCTCCTGTCCTTTGACTTTTTTTTCTCCTTTCTTCCTCGTCATCTCCTTCATCCTCTGCCCTTTATTCTTTTCTCTCTCTCCTCTGCCTGCTAAGTTCCTTCCTTTCTGCATGTGTTGTATGGACCAGCTGTGAAAGGAATGCAAGCCCACAGATAATTGCACACCGCGAGGAAAGAAAGGGCATCGTAATGGAAATGTTGTACATTTATTATGATAATAATCCTTGCATTTACATAGCACCGTATCACATTGCTGAGATGTCTCAAAGCGTTTCACAGAATATATTGTGAAATATATTGTGAAATAAATTGACTATGCATTTTGTGGGTGAAAATAATGAAATTTGCAATGTAATGCTTGAAGTACTGCCCGTCATATCACAAAATTGACTGGGTTTGATGTATCATTGGCCGTCCTGATTTACTGAGTGTTTATTCAGTTGACATACAAATGAGAAGCTTGTGATTCCACCAAATGCATATGGAGAGGTAAGCTTTAGTGCTCAGTAAGTTGGATATTGGAAATGTACTAGATGGTAAATCCAGGGCCTTGTGCACTTAAATTACTGTATTCTATTGTTAACGTTTGTACCCTGCTTAATGATTGAGTCATAACAGGGTTGTCATATAGTTTAATTTGGAGCTAGATTTATTTTTGTTGTAAATTTCCCTGTTGAGCACAGGCTACTTTTCTGCCACTTCTGTCAGCCTGGCTCAGTTGGTAATACTCTTGCCTTTGAGTCAGAAGGATGTGGGGGCAAGCCCCACATCAGGACTTTGAACTCATATAATCCAGGTTGATTCTCCAATGCCGTGTTGGGAGTTCTGTACTTCTAATGAGATGTTAAACCAAGGTTATTGAGGTGGACTTTAAGGCTCTATGACACTGTTCTCAAAGGGAAGGGAGTTTCTGTGTGGCCTGATTGGTGCTATTGAGGTACGTTTTACTGCCAACCTACATTTTTTCACTGTATTGATGAAAACTGAACATGAGCAAATAACACATGTGGAATCCTGTAGCTCAGGGGATAGGGCACTCACCTCGCAAGCAAGAGACCTGGGTTCGATTCCCAGCAGGTCGAAATGTTGGGTAAGTTTCCTTACTCCGCGTGCCTCTGTTTATCTAGCAGTAAGTAGGAACTCGGTTGTTAGTCGATTGGCAAATTGCTTTTCCGGAGGTAAGAATTCCTTTTTTAAAAAAATTGGTCATTTCAATCTACGACTGTTTGTGGGACAGTGTTTCGCCCACAAAATATACAATCAATTTACTTTACAGTATTTTCTGTGAAGTGCTCTGAGATGTCTCGAGGATGGATTATTATTATTTTATTAGATTGTTGCAAAAAAATTAATTTCTTTTTCAACAAAAACTGGATGGCCCATTTGTGGGGGTGGGGGAGAACATTAGCGCAGAGGTCCGGGGGCCAGAAACTTCATTGTTAGTGGTTTTGTAGTGGAGGCACTGTTTATAGTGGATGCCACATAAAAATTGCATCTGCAATTTTCTATTGGCCCTGGCCTACAATCCCCCAGGAAGAATTGGCCATTTACTTGATAGATGTTTGTGGGACATTGCTGAGGACAAATTGCCTGTTGCATTTGCCTTCTGATGTGATTTATTATTATCATATAGTGTATTAATAAAACTCATTATAAAAGCAGAAACTGCAAGCTAGTTTGCAAAAGTTTTTTTGTGGAATATACCATAATTTGTAATTTTGCCATTAAATGTTTAATGAATAGAAATTATAGTATAATGCTAGCTAATCGCACTTAATATTCATCTTCAAAGAAGCTATTTCAGGCACAAGCATGAAAATACTGTTGTGTTTTACTTAAATCAGAGCTCATGATGTTCAAAATTGCAGTTAATATGGGATTGCCCATGAATGTGTATGAGATTGCTGGTTGCTTAAAATAAATGCAACATCTGCATGAACAGAGGAATGCTGTCACTATGATCAGAATAATTTATTGATCAGAATGTGCATCAGTATAAACGTACAGGATTTATATGAGCACAAGACAGTTCTGTCAATAACAGATGAGACCTATGGAAATGAAGTATCTCAGTCAATATGTGCTTCAAAGGTGTTTACTAATATACAATGTATCAATATTCAAAAACTGCAGCATCAAGTCTCCAAATATAGTATTTGTAACAGTTTCAGGTCACTTGCAGAATTTCTAAGTGAATTAAATGCTTCTCATTTGATTTCCATTTTGATTAATAGTTGGGGTAACTAATTGGTTTAAAACATTGCAATTAAATATAAGTATCTTTTGGAAATATTCCTGGGGATGCAATGATCCTGTGATATGTAACATCTTACATAATGGAGGATTAACATCAGGTGCAGTTTTTGACCCAACAATTTCTGTTGCAAAGCATGAATTCTAACTCATGGTTATCCTGGAGATTATCTGCCTTGCCCTTTCCCTCACCACCATTAAAGCTTGCTTTAAAACCTTTCCAACTAACGTTTGGTCATACTTTTTCCCGGTTAGCTCTATGAAGTGCTTTGAGACACCCTCCCAATGTGAAATTGTATCAGTATTTCATACAGATTTTAAAATAACATATGTATTGCATGTCTGATTAATGGCTTCGTTATGCTAAATTAAAATTGCTGGAGGATCCTATTTAGCCTTGAGCAAGACTAAAGATTAGAATAAAGTCCCTTTCCCACACAAATAAGTGGAACAGACTCCCAGCAAAGTAGCTAAAGCTGTGTCAGTATGAACTGTTGCATGATTCTGCAAATAGTGTAATCAGAATCAAAGAATCTTACAGCACAAAATTGAGCCATTTGGCCCATCGACAGGAATCGACTTAATTCTGCTCTTCTGCTCGCTCCCCACACCCTGTATTTCTCCTCTATTTCAAGCATGTATCTGATTCTCATTTGAAAGAGTTTAATGAACACATCTTAAACAGTAGTTTGTGGCTGAGAATTATATTTTCCAGGCCCCTTTGTGTAGGCATTTTCCAAATATTTCCTTTAATTTTTGTTGCCATCCTAGATTTGTGCCCTCCCATTAATTATTAAAACACACGTTTTCATTCAGTATTGAGTAGCCACCTTTGGAAGGAAATATTGGCCTCTGAGAATGTTTAATAACAGTGAATAAACTGGAATGAAGGAAGTTTGGCTATCATAAGCAGCTAGATGAACTTGGTTTGTATTCCCTCGTACTAAGATTACAATTATTCCTAAAACAATGATTTGGGTGATCTGAATGATTTGATGGTCTCTAAGATGGCGGGAATTAACAAGACACATAGAAAATGATCGTTCCTTTTAATAAAAGGAATCCAGAGCGAGGATCTCAAAACCAGAACCAAGACTATTAAAAGTGAATCCAGAAGCCATTTGTCCTTACGAAAGAATATTTGCTCTTAAGAAAAATCAAAAAGTGATGAATATGGTTACCCATTTAATGGGTTATTAACTATCATATAATTTACTGACTGTGGTAAGTGTGTCCAATCCCTGCTGGTTGGGGTAAGCTTGTTAGAAAGTGGAACCGCTTGTTTGCCAAGGTCAGTAAAATTTAATGAACTAGAGAATCTCCCCTTAATTTGTTTTTGCTTATTGGGGATTGTGAAGAGCTCAGACTTTATCCTGTGTGAAGAGTGCTGTGTAAATGCACATTGGTTTTGTAAATAGTTCATAGTTTTAGGAACTATAATACAAAAATACTGAAGCTGTGCATAAGCAAATTTTATCCTGTTGTACAAAACAAAGGTGAAACATGAGGCTGGAAACAATATACAGTCTACCTCAACATCTGTCAGGGGAAAATGCTTGAAAACATTATACAGGATGCTATTAATTCTCTATCAAAACAAAAACATTTTGCAGTCTAGTTAACAGAGATTTAGAAGCAATATGTCATGCATCACAAATCTACTAGAATTTGTCTGAGGAAATTACTAAGGTAGTGGATGTAATTTACTTGAATTTGAAAAGCATTTGATAAAGTTGCATGCATGAGAATATTCAAGCATATGGAATTAATGGCAATTT